AAAAAGAGAAGAGATTGTCCGTTCCATGTATGTGGATTGTTTCCTCATGCTCGCTCAATATCTACCTCCCCAACGCCGGTGCTCCACGGAACCATCGTCGAATGGTGTAGACTTGATACCCCGTGACAGCCATGAAGAGTACCGTTTCCATGAGAGAACTCAGTACCATTCTGGAATGGGAATGTTTGTTGGTAGCAGCATGCACAATGAGTCTACGTCGTTCCTTTTGCTGTTGCGAATGAATTTCGGCGAGTAGTCGTCTCAATTGTCTCAATTTGTCTCGTGTGGCATGAAAATCTTCGTCTTTGATTCCTTCTTCCGATGCGGTATCTTCTTCCAACAATTTGTCTTCGTCCTTCATGGTTTTTTGTTCGTACGTCAAGACATGTCCATCTTCTCCCAATCCACCGAGTTCACTTTCGCGCCTCATTTCGACTTCGGCCGTGACCTGATGGAAACTGCCAATGACACAGAATCGATACCATCCCGCCTGGGGCGCCTTGATGGTTTTTTGAAAGGGCTGTCCTTCTTCTCGTACCTTTTTATGTTGCGAGAGACGCTGTTGTTCTTGTTTTTGTCGTTTGACCAGAATCTTTTTGCGTTGTTTGTCTTTGATACGTTTATTCGTTCTTCGGGCGAGAGTTCCTTGTTTTGGATCTTGATCAATTCGTCGTCGTCGGACGCGGCGTCTTCGTCGAAAAATTCATCCTTCATGTTGAGATGTTCAAAATCGACCACTTCTTCCACCACAATGCTATTTTCGGGAGCTCCTTTCTCAAATTCGTCCACGGCAGCTTGCAATGTGTTGCCCGAATCGGACTCCAAGGACGCCACGGGACCATCCACTCGAACCGTCGCCTTCAAGGCTTGACCCGATAAGATAAAGACACTGGCCGTCACAGATTCACTATGAAAATACAAAATTAGTAGACAATGAGAGTACAAAGCAGACAAGTCAAATTTATGAGTCAGTTGGTACCTAAAAGGCAATTAATTAAGCCATTTACACATCGTGATGCACTCACCCTTCATCGAGTTTGTCGTAGAGACACTCGGTGCCCCTCAAATTGACCAACAGTTGCAATGGCAAAGCCGCCAAGGCATGTCTCAGCAACAATGCCAGGAATACTATAGCACTATGGTAGCCCTTCGCCATCCTTATCCAACAACCAACGAGACAGATAAACAAAAGATGGAATAGATCAAAGCAAGAAAGAAGCCAATGGACAACGGCGGTGGTGCTGTTTGCTGTTGTCGCCATTGGCTTGATCACAGCGGGATCTTGTGCAGGTCCCGAGATCGCGGGACTCGGTTTGGATCTTCTCCGGACCGTGGAAACCCACACCACGCCTCGGACGCATTTCTGGTACGAGCAGCTTCGATTTTATTGATTCAACGCGTGCCGGCATTTCTGGTACAGTTCTACAGAGCTCTGTAGAAGTGTACTGAAAAGAGTGGTGGCGTTTGAATCAATAAAATCGAAGCTGCCTGTACGGTACAGTACCTTTAGAAACAGTTGCAGAGCCGACCCTACCGAAAGAGTATGGATGACCTCAGGAAACAAATGGCGTCTGGATTGCATACAAATTTGGCATTGCTCACCGGTTGGGCCACCCTTGCTTACCGCTAGCGACAAGTGTGACTCTTCTTTAGGTCCTCATTTGGCCCTCAAGTTTCGTAGAGACCGTTGGTGCCAACATTTTTCTCCCTATCCGACAAGCTCGTGGGCCATCAATCCTAAACAATGCTAGACTCGCAAGCAAGGGAGAAGGGACGAATGATATGTGTTGAAAGATTGTACTAACGCTAAAGATACTATCTAGCTAGCTAGAAGGAATTTGATACATAGCAACCGGCAGTGTGCAGACTTTCGACGGTGCATAGGACAGTGTCACTGATTTTAATACAGCAGGACATCAGCTTCATACACCAACGTCTCTCAGATCTTTCGAATAAAGAAGTCGCAATCCCAATCGGCCCACACCTGCGCCTGACTGTAGGGGCACCGCATCCTATCCGCTGTCTTGCGATCCAATTGGACTTGATAGGCATGAACACAATCTTCATACTCGTGGAGCACCTTGATAATCGTACCCGTGCCATACACCTTGTCGCCAATGGGGCATTCCACTTTGGTTCCTTTCTCAAAGCGCATATTGTTGGGGTCATACCGCTTGAGCCACTTCCGATCGCCTTCCACAAAACCGGTCGGAACCTTGGATCCCTGCAACTCCTTGTGGTAGTCCTCCAAATCCATTTTGATGCGTTTACACTCCTTCTTGTGTCGCTTCCAATCGCTCTTTTGGCAGTCTTTGGAACAATAGCGAAGTGAGGAGCATCCACTGCACTTTTTGAGGCCGTGCGGCGTTCCGCAGGCGGTGCACAAGGCCAACTTTTCTTCATCCGGTTTGATGTTGACCACCTCGAGGACGTTGAAAAAGACGGGCTGACTGCCCGGTTCAGCTTGTTTACCTCTGATATCCTGGTGGTAGTGTCGGATTTTTCGCTGGCCAGGTTGCAAGCTATAGATCTCAATCATGCTACGAAAATGGAAACGACCAGCGTAGTTGATGCTCTTGCTGCCTTGGCGGACAGAGTTCCGCGACTTCAAAGCATCCTGAAGGGCCTTGTGAGTGATTTCTACCGAAAAGTCATCTGCCTCGAATACACCACCGACGTTCATGTTGTTGACCCTTTCATAACAGCTCAATGCGTATTTCCGCTCACAGTTTGGATGTCCAGGATTGTACTGCTTCATGAGGAACAAATCCAACACCTTCCGATAGCAAGAGAGAGAAAGTTGATTGAAACACCCTTAACTTATTGGTTGCAACACTTCCATCGGGGCTAAGCTTACCTGCTCTTGGTACGTTTGTCCTCCCTCGCCGTCTTCGTCGGGGCATCTCATGGCTCCGTCCAGGACTAGACAGCTGCCATTCCCTTCCTCATCCACTTGCTCTACGGTTATCTTATGATACCAGTGATCTCCCAAATCGTACGCATAGTAGCAGACATCTCCCTTGTGTTTCAAGATATCTCCAATGGTAAAATTGTTCGCATCGAGACGTTCGCCTTTTCTTGCTCGATAACTATCGTGCAGACCAGAACCATCCGCCGACAGCGGCATGTCTTGCCGGTAATACCTTTTCTTGTCTCGCGATGACGAATAAAAGTAATAGGTATGATAATTGCGTGTCCATCCCATGATGGGTTGCAGGATTTTGTCTTGAAAGACGTCGAGGTTTATGGCGGAATTGCATCGAAAGCGGCGCCAAATGCTGGGACGTAGCTCGCGCAGATCATCGTCTCCCCTCAACAGAGCAATGCGCAACACCAAGTCAGGAGAATTGTTGGTTACCTTCATCTCTCTCTCCTTATACGGTAGTACCAGTCTTATTATGGAGGTAATGATCTTCTTTCGACGTTGGTTTATGGAGGCAATGAATGATGTGCAAAGAAACAAACTCCACCTCGTCATTGGTGGGATGGCGGGGGATCCCCGGTTTTCGTGAAGAGTTGCATGTTGTACCGTATGTATGTGATCTCTCCTTAGGTAGTATGCATACTCGTGCCAGTATCAGTCTTATTATTGTTATGGAGGCAATGATCCTCTTTGAACAGCCGTGCAACACACTCCACGTTGTTTTTTGGTGTTGTTGGGGGGGTCCCCAATTTTCGTGAAAACAACCAACCGTGGAAAGATCCAAAAGAGTCCCGGAAACTCTGGACTGGATTGGATCTTTCAAACAACCACGCCAACAGCACGACACGCAAAAAGTCGCAAGCTCGACACAACATAACATCTTCATCTCTCTTCCTTTCTTTCTCATACACAACCAAAGAGCCACACTATGGACGCCTTGTCTCGTACGATCGACGCCGCCGTGCAAAAGCACGATTATCCCGCCCTTATCGGCGTGTTTACCGACAGCAACGGCCCCGCCAAATGGCACAATGTCGGCCAAGGAGAACAACGGTCGGTCGCGGCCCATTTCATTCAAACGGCCGTGGCGTCTGGAACCTTTTTTCCACGAGCTTTTGACAATGCCGATGTGGTGCAAGTTGTCATTATTGCATTGGGACATTTGCCATCGACCGTTCCCAATGCGGCCGACAATAAATTGCGACACATGCTGTTCGATTACAAAGTCAATACCGAAGGAGATTATGCCGGGGCGGCACGGATTCTGGGAGGAACGCGAATGGAAGATGATCCCACATCCGTCTATCATACCAGTCCGGCCGAAAAATGTGATGGTAAGAATAACACAAGAAAGAAAAAGCAAGAATGTTGACCTTGGCTTTTATTTGGATTAACTGATCCATCATATTGATCTTGTCCTCCTTTTCTTTCTATCTTTCTCTGCCCACTCTCAGTTTATGTCAAGATTGCAGAATGCTTTCTGGCGGTGAGTTTAGTTGGTTGTGGGTTGTCTTGTCCTTGCAGCCTGTTGGTTCAGCTGACAGATCTGTTTCGTCATTGACGGGTCTTTTTTTAATAATAGGAAGATTTGATTGCCGAGTCGGATTCGGCCGTCACCAAGGCTGGATCGGTCGTTGAAGGGATCAAGAATCCAGAGGAACACATGGCACTCATCTTGCGATACAAATCCACGTATGCCCGAGTACTCGATGCCAATCGAAAATTTCTACAGGCGGCACAGCGATACCATGATTTGTCGCTGAGTGCCACGGATGCCATTGACAAGGATGATCTATTGACCATGTTGGGACGGGCGGCCACGTGTGCCATTTTGGCACCCAGTGGACCACAACGACATCGGGTATTGGGGCATGTATGTAGCAGTATATTTGCAAGAGTTTGTGTTGCACTGAATGAAACAAGGCGTTCCCTGCTCACGGTGTCTCTCTCTCTTTTCAAAATCCCAACTGCCTACTGAATCGAATCAGATTTACAAGGACAAGCGTCTCTCTCAACTAGATGCCATGGACGATTTCGCCACACACAGCAAAATTCTCGAAAAGAACTACATGCATCAGATTCTACGCAAGGAAGAATTGACCAAATTTGAACAATCCTTGCAGCCACACCAACGAGCTATCATGGGAGATGGACTCACCATTGTCGAACGTGGAGTTGTAGAACACAATATGATTGCCGTAAGCATGTTGTATCGATCCATCTACGTCAAGGAATTGGCCAATATTTTGGGTGTGGATCCACGCAAGGCCGAAAAGCTCGCCAGTACCATGATTATGGACGGGTCCTTGAATGGGTCTATTGATCAAATTGAGGGATTGCTCGAGTTTCAGATTGATGAATCTCCACAGAGCTATTTTGATGGAAGTATCACAAACTTTTGTATTGAACTCAATGCTGTGGCGGATGCCGTCAAAGCAGAAGCCTGAGACGAGCGTACTCCAGTGCTTCAATCAATCAATCAATCAATCCACAGTTCATCACATCGCCTCGCAGCACCAACAGTGCCTACTACACGACTGCAACAAAGAGTCGCATACCGTACATTTACGAAAAGCCGTGGTAGCATTCTAATACGACAATTTTTATAGATTCAAAACCATCCCTCAAATGTGGGATCTAAGCCTCGTTTGTACCACTTGAAAGCATTCAAGGCGGAGGGAACCAGAATGACAGCTAGCCCCAGATAGACATTGGCATCGTAGGGAAAATCAAAGAAAGTTGCCCCGTACTTGACGCCGTAGCTTGCCACGGCACAGCCCACAAACAGCTTAACCACAAAAGAAAAGTCCGTGTCTCCCTTGAGAGCATTTCCAAGATCCTCAAAGCCCACTAGGGATGCCGATTCTTCTCGAATTTGCGTATTGTCGTTTCTGCTACTAGTGCTGCTGGTCTCTGCATCGTCGCTCAAAAACGCGTTTGCCCAAGCCAGTGCTCCATCCAATTCTTCCTCGGGTTTCCATCCTTCGTAACGAGCAATGCGAAAGGCTGCATAGGCGGCCGTCACGTTTCCTAGGCACGTCAAAAAGGCCTGAAGGGGTACCATGACGGGGATGCCATTGTAAAACAAGTGATAGGTACAGGCTGTAATCCCCGAGCTGTGCAAGGGCAACAATCCCCAGGTGAGACCCTTCCATGTTGGATTGTTGGATACATCGGCCCATCTCCAAGCAAATCCCATGGCCACCAAGAATTCTACCAAGGATGAAATGTGAATGATCCAGCTGTCATGCATGTCAAGAGGAAAAGAGACTGGATGTTAGTGCAAAGTGCGACCAGAATGCCACTGGATTCTTGCAGCAATACATGTAGTATACCCACGTTGCGACAGTGAGCGCATTGGCTGGCTCAGGATTTGCGCCAAGATTGTCGGCAAAGAAGTTGTACGGCAGATCCATGAATCCGTTCAGATAAGGAGCGTGAACTTCAGCCCCTGAAAGGCCTGGAACAAATGCGGTAACTCCAGCCAACAAGATCAAGGGGATTGCCAGCGCAATCATTGGACCGTAGCTTTCTGCCGATGCGGGCATGGTCTCCGCCTGTTGTTCCTTTGCATTCAAAGCTTGCCGAAATGCCACCACAGTGACCAAATTGGTGATTGTCAGCAAGGATTCGGCTGATCCGTGCAACCAGTCGCTATCGGCGAGTGATACTCCAAATTGTAGTTTGGCGCAAATGGCGGCAGGAATAGTCAAAAATACAAATAACAAGAGGGTAGCAAATCCAACCGTGACGCCTTTGGGGCAATTGGTTTCCTCTCGACTCAAAAAGTACAAAAAGGCGAGATATGGAAACAAGGAAAAACCAAACAGAGGTCCTCCCAATGCTTCAGCTTCATCGGTGCTCATGGATAGTATAGAGCTTAAATGTTCCGTGGAAGAGGCAAGCGATTCAATTCCTCCGCTCAGAATATCAGGAGGAGCAGAAGAGAGGGCTTCCATGGGTATCATGTTCATGCTTGTCGTGGGATTCGGCTGGACTGCCCCTGTGGCGGTCCGATGTAGTGAAGATCGCCATCCATGAGCTTTGCTGGGAGAAAAGGAAGACGTTCTGCTGCTGCCAAAGACGAAGATGACAACCAACAGATACAGTGAGCTTCTATTAGACGACAGAGCCATTTCCAGGTTTGATCATGCCTTCGAGGAAGGGACAGTCTGCAATGCTAAATGGCACTAAAGCGATGGCGTCGGTTGCTTCAGCAGTTGAGGTGCAAAGATCTGAGTGTCAACAAGAAAAGATCCAAAAGATCGTCAGTTTACCACGAGCACCGTCACCATACCAGCACCGTGGAAGCTTCGCGTGGAAATTGCGCTCATACAGCAGTACCATGGCAATCCTCGACGTCCTTTCTCGATTTCGGGCAGGAGCCACCGGAACGGCAAGCTCTCCGGAACCGGCAAGGACCGTTAACACACAACACATTTCACCCATGGCACTCCCCACCCTTCTATCATGGACCTTGCGGTTAGCTGACCGCTGGGACGCTACAATACTAGTATTGGTTTGGACCAGCGCAATGCGCTTCTGGTGCATTGGGCTAATCACCGAGTAGATATATTCTACGCTTCTTTAAATACATGCTGGACCTTCAGGAGCTGCAAACTTCCGCTTTTTCCCTCCTCTCAAGGGTGAAGCTTGACCCTGAGAATGCATTGAAGTAGAGCAGCACCAAAGAGAGGGTTTCTCACGCAGAAGACCATACAGCACACCTGTCTTATCCTTTTCCGGTTGTAGTACACTTGTTGGGTGCCCTGGGTTGACAGAAACAGCAAGCTTCCCAAATGAAACAGACATCACATTCAAAAGGATATCAACCAGGTCATTTGCTGTGGTGTTTTCGCTGGTCATTCTCCATCGTCCAAAGTGTGCCAACCACAACAGGTGCTGAATCTTTACAGCCACTGGTTCCAAATGAGATGGATAACATGGATAGAGGTAATTGGACAGGAGATTTCTTTGAAGAAGACTTTGTGCATCCCGATTGATGAAGTGATAACCGCTTCCACTGTTAATCAAGAGGAATGCCAGCACCCTGTTCACACTTCCCTCAAGCATCTCCAGGAACCAATCCAAGACAGAAGGCTGACCCTTCCAAAGAAAGTTTAATCCATACAACTCTAGCCGATGCAGATTGCGGTTCTTCTTGAATGCTTCGCCAAAGGGAGACAGTTCTAGCTGATGCAGTTCTAGCTGATTTGCAATTGATGGCCAGAGAACTGGAGAACCTCAAGTGTGTCAATACCAAGGGTCGTAACCAAAGCTGATGTCACATCCAACCAACTCTCCCTTTTTTACGAATGAAGTCAGGACTTATTCCTGTGAGACAGAGCTTGACCAGGCTTGCTCCACAATCAAACCTATTTGCAAACGTCACCTTTAGCGGCACAATGCTTTGGTGATGGGGTAGTAATGAGATCGCTCGCATAGCTTGAGAGCCACAACATGAAAGTCTATTGGGGCAGGGTTGCTTCCATACCTTGCAAAGCGAGGGAGAATAGGCCGTCTGGGATATCACAGATGTGCAAATAAGTTGCAACGATTTGGTGTGAACACAGAGCTTTGCGAGGTTCTCTGCATGCACCTTGGGCAAATGGACAAGCTCAATGTGTTCAATTGTGGAGTTGCCCTTGCCGCTCGAGGCACTGTTGAGCGTTGTTCGGACAACATTCACTAAAATTCCAGGAACCGGTTGTTGGTAAATTCATCTTTGCTATGGACTGTATTGGCTCGGAGAAATTCTCCAATCTCACCGTTGCCCTTGCCATAGCCGTTTTCGTTGCAACAGCGCCTTCATCTTCGTTTTCAAACATCCACCAACCATCCACGTTCCTGGCCTCGGACTTCTAAAGGGCAGGATGGCAGGATGTCACGCGAAAGTTCGATTCAGGATCATTTTGTCAAGCTGGCTAAGCTGTCAAACCCGAGGTAAGATCTTGGAAGGCGTTGGGGGTACCGGTAACCCTAATAAAACATACCCGTAAGTCACATCTGTTCAAAATGAAGGATTTGCCGTCTAAGGTCTGGCCGTGGTTGGGCAAATTCTGGTCGATTTCATAAAAAAATCGTGTTTACTTGGCCCAAAGGCGAAATTTAAAGCAAAAAAAGCTGAAATGGCGAAATTTAAGGCAAAACAAAGCTGGATCTTGGGGTAGCGACGGCCAGACCTTAACCGGCTCTTGGACTGATGTGAAGTGTAATTCCGTACCGGTAGCATAGCCCGCAACCCTAAAACCAAGACGACCCACCACGGCCACGCACACACCACCACCACACCTGGACGGTTAAGTAAAAGTTGACTTTGGGGAAAACGGGGTTTTCCAAAGGAAAAGTGTTGAAGTTTCGAATTTCTAGATTTAACAGCACTGAAACTGTTGAAATTGGTTCAACAGTGTTGAATCTCCTTTAAACACTAATTCAACAGAAATTTAACACTTTTCAACAGGGATTCAACACTTATTCAACAACTTCCACACTTCCACTGACTATAGATTCAACAGTAATTCAACAGGGTTTCAACACGATTCAACACTTATTCAACAGTTTTTCAACAATTATGAACCACTTTTCAACACTTTTCAACACCAGTGAGAAGTAGACAATTTGTTTAAGAATAGGGGAACCTTCAAGTCAGTTTACCCAAAAATCCAACTTTTTCCACTTTTACTTAACCGTCCTGCGTACAATACCAGCCGTACCGTACTCGTACCAGTTACCAAAATTGACGACACACGACACACCACGTCACCACCAAACCACAAGACTTGCAACCTGCCAATGCCAGCTCAACTCCGTACCGGTACCGGTACAATACCACCACAGCTCTGTATGACTTAGAGTACATGTAGCTGTAGAGTGTAGGAGTGGCGAATGTCACTAACTCGGATAACGCTCGGGCATAAACTGGCGAGAATGGGAAAAAAGGCGAGTCATAATTGCTCCAACCTGGACATGACCGTCCGCCGTCCGACCTCAAAATTTCTGCAACCCGAACACCGATCTCTGACCCCTGCACAGCTCGCATCTCGCAACTCACAGTTCACACCTCAAAACTCACAACTCGCAGGTCACAGCCCACAGCTCCAGCTCGACCGTCACAGCTCGAAAGAGCCAAAGAGCTTCGAGCTACCCAATATCAAAGACTACCAACGGAAAGGAAGCCACCATGAGCGCCATGGAAGACAAAATCCTGTGGATTGGAGGCACTTCGAGCCTGACCCGGACATTTGTCAACTGTCAGTTGTTGAACCCCAAGAGATTGGTACTGGTTGGTCTGGAATCACGAGCGCCCGATTGGATACCCCCGTCTTCTCGATACATCAGCTTCAACTTGGCCACTGCCACTGATGAACAAGCCAGAGATCTGGTTCAGTCCATTATTAATGACGTTTCCTGTATCGTTATTGGTGTACGCCCTCTCTTGTTCGCACCCTACACTCAAACTGATCTGCCACAAAGAATGCTACAAGGTGTTGAGAAGTTGCTAGAGCAAGCATGCCACCAAGAAGCTTCCAAGCTCAAGTTGGTGTTGCATGTGTCTTCTGTGGCGGCAATGGACCATCTGAGAACGCAGCATTTTGTCTCGGAAGCAGAGGATTATCCACCAATAGTCGAATACAAGGCTTCCTATGACAAATTCAAGAGACTCTGTGAAGAACGCATCACCAGTATTGTCGACAAAGCCAATCAAGGTAGAAATACGGCAAAAATATTGGTTTGCAACTTCCGAATCAGTGCCATTTTCTCGGATGAAACATCCTGTTTTCAGTGCACTGCCATAAATCTACAAGCTCGTGTGAGTTGCTATGTAGATCATAAAATTGATTGCAATTCGAGTGTCAACGTTTCCAGAGCCATGTATGCTGTGATGGAAAGAGCCTCATCCAACAACCAAGAAGGAACCAACAAAAAGATTCAGCCAGTTTACTACTACACCAGACCACTTTCCTTGAAACAACCAGTTGCCTGGGGCTACTATTTGCAATTATTCCGCAGAGTGCATCAAATGGAGTACACTTCCATCTGGATTCCCGTGTGGGTGCTGGCTTGGATCACGGGGCTGGTTCATTGGTTTGCTGGTACATGCAACCGATGGAACCTACAACTGCCTTATGTGGAAGCAATGGACTATCTGTTGCAAGTGGCCTCGCGAGAACATTCGTTTGATTGTTCCAAGTTTGGGGATGATTTTCCCAACTTTCATGAACAAGAAGAAACCATCTTGGAATGCTTCGTTCGCCTTAAAGAGATATTGGCTAAAGAGAGGCAAAAGGGATACTATCAACAATCAACACCTCCAGCTTCTACTGGTAAGGAAGAAAGCAACAAATCAGCCGCGTTGTTGTCCAAGAAGGCGCCAGCCCAGGTGCAGCTGGCATGTTTTACAAATCCATTGTCCAGTCTGTCCTCCTACACATCACAACCAGACCCATCCTCCAGCTTTGCCAAACAGCGCAACCGGAACCAGGATCCACCTCTTGTATCCGTTGGTGGACCCAACCCCAGTACGACAAGCAGAGGCACTCTTGGAGAGCTTGTTGAGTGCTTCTTCAGCTTCGGCAAATGAGGCATTCACGGATATGCGGGACTGGGGGGGGGATCCGAAGAATCAGGTAATATAACAGCGAGAAGTAGTATTAAATAAGTAATATTAGCGCGAGTAGACTGTACCCAACCCTGCCAAAACCGGTGGCAAGTTGACCAACCAACCAAGCTAACGTTGTGCTGGTCAAGCTTTGTGTTGGCCAATGTAAATCCACAGGCTTGTTCGGATTCTGCCTCGGCAGTTCCAATCAATCAAGCACCAACCTACTAGCTAGAAGCATGGCGGGTAACCTCGCAAGGAACAGCCACATGATAGGATCCACCCATATTATCCTGTACGTGCTCCACCTAACGCGACCAGCTCGTTTGAAAATAGAACAAGCTTTGTCAAGCACATGTACCTGGATGGAAGCATCTAACTGAAGACTTTCAAACCATCTTTTCTAGTAACCAAGATAGCAATTCAAGACGGCTCCAAGTCAATAAGAAAGCTTTAGTAATCATGACAACCCATGATATGACTGCCAGAGTTAAGAGAGTTGATGTATCAACAGGGGGTATCCTTTGAATCCTCAAAGCAGTGACGTTGCTCTGCAGTAGTGGAACAGAGTCATGTACGTTGGTTCACTGCTTTTGGAATCACTACTTACTATAGAAACAGCAACCAAGCAACTGATGAAAGCACCACCTGACTACCGTACCGTTTTCTAACTAGACTACTAATTATGGATTTTCGAACCATTCCACATCCACGGGCCAGTGACGCTTCATGGCGGGTGGATACCGTCCTGTGAACCATGCCGTATTCAATTCCGTGGCCAGTCGAAACATTTGACTTTGAAACGAGCCCACCAGGAAGTCGGCTCTTCGCATCAGTTCCAAATCGGACAGTAACTTCTCGTCCTCGTTGGTTGCTGGATATCGTCGAACGAACTTCCACTCTGGATAATCCTGCTCCAACGTTTCGGGTGGGAGTACTGCCCCACCCTCTGATGATTCTTGGACAACACCATCCGTTACAATGTAGATTGTGTCTAGACTACTTTTGGATGGTTGTTGTTCTGGTTGAAGAAGAATGTTCTGGACGACAATTTCCATGCACCGCTCAAAGGCTTGTGTGATGGAGGCATCTCGTCCGTATTTGGTGGCCAGGTTTTTTCTCATTTTGCGGGAGGATATCCAATACAAGACAATATATGGTTTCGTCGTCTTTTGGGACGCTTCTTCTTCTTTGTTATTAGCAGAATGCCATTTTCCCCACAGGTAGTGTGCCATTTGAGCGCGTACCCAGAACCTACCAAATGCTCGTTCCCATGTGGGAACTACATCAATGAGATAGGTGGATTTAGGATAGGGCCATGACGGCATTTCCATTTCTTGTTTGCTGGAGCCGTAGTAGTCGGCATGAAAGAGCGCATTATCGTCTGTAATGACTTGATCGGGGATTATCCCAAAGGACAAGGGATCCAAAATATTGGCGTCGTCGTCTTGATGTGGATTGCTCGTAGTGGTATGCGTGTGATCATCGTGGGTAGTACAGCTCGAAATGGCCGCCAAGCAGGATATACCACTCTGGTGCCCTCTGGCATCGGTATCATGACAGACCCATTCCCCTTCGAGCACCAGCATTCGTTGGGTAGCAACGGCCACTTGCAGTGCCAAGGCGGCGTATTGAAAGTCTCGAGCAAACTGTTCGCTCCTGGTTCCCGCAGCCGCCTGCATCCTCGACTGGAGTCTCAACCGACGTCCACAGACCGCGGGATGTTGCAGGGTATCCATTTCCGCCAATAGTTGTTTCTGTGCCTTGGCGTGACGGGCCATGACCTCTTGCACGGAAGTAGTTTGTGGATCATCATTATCGTCGTGTTGTTTGTTAGTAGGATGAATGATCTTATTATTGTGGGGTGCCGTGAAAACACCCAGAAGAAAGAAGACTATGCAGAAGGCCGCCGCCCGCCACCACTCAGAAGAGTTGCGGATGACCATGGGCAATCCATCCTTCCTTCAGCTAGTAGAGTAGTATCGGTAATTGCTGGTACGAAGAGGGTTGGATCAATCGGAGACAGCAAACAACTCAACTCGACTTAATGGAGTAACTGAAACGGAACCTTCTGCTTTTCTTGGAGTCAGTGAGTGATCGAGTGATGAGGTCGTGGCATCACAAGCTGTGATGTCTGAATTCCTTCAAGGACGAATCTTTTGGTACCACTCGGAGTGCAAGTATGTAGTACGTGTAGTTCCGTTTGATTGAGTCACGAACGATCTCACTCTTTGAGAACGAGAACTTCCTCTTCATGATTTGTTCTGTTGGGTTTCGTCACCGCTTTCACTGTGGCAACAACACTTGTCTTGTCGATGGTGCACGGTGTGTTTGTTCTATAAAATAGAAAAACAACAAACAGAACAAACAACAACAAGAACAACAACAACCAAAGAGTCTTATCCTCCTCTCTTCTAGAGCTAAAGACTTTTTTGTTTGTAGTGTGTTGTGTGGCAAATTATTGATATCCTTCCTTTGTTCTTTCGGTGACAGCATTTTTCTTCTCCTCCGTGCACGACTCGTCATCTCATTATTCTGCAACAGAACTTCATGTTGCCGTTGTGAACTCATATCAATCCCATTGTGGCGTAGAAAGAAAAGAAAGACTTCAACAAAGTAACAAACCAAAAAGTTTGTCGAGTCAATCATCAGAACTTGAGATTCAGATTTTGTGGCGAACCTCCGCACGCTCTCATCATCAGTGTCAAGAAGAAAGTGAAAAAGAAAAAGCAAGGGTTCCCTGACAGAGCATAGGAATTCACTATCATAGTGCTACTAGTAGTGTACTAGTATAAGAAGAGCTGTTGCTTGGTTCATGTCAGTCACCAGCAGACTGTCGAAAGATTCCTACCAGTACTAACAAGAGGCTCACAATTGATCCACAATCCACTCTACATAGCAAAAGTCAAGTCAAGTCAACTATGAAGTCCTACACGAATTCTTCCAACCAACTTTTATCTTCCTTTCGCTCCAGTTTGGTAGATCCACCACCCGCTTCGATGAGTAGCGCCAGTACTGTCGTTGTACCCCACCAAGGATCGCTCTGTCGCATGCAAGATGACGATGGCGCATCAACATACATAATTGACATTTGCCTTGAAGATGGACAGACACACGATTTGATTTTCGCGGCCCAAGATTTCGACTTTTGTTCCAAACTTTTCGCCATTCTCGATACGGAAAGCAGAGGAGCCGTCGAACGGCGGACCATTCACGAATTCGTCACGCTCCGTTGTCCCGTCTTTTTGCGACGAGATGAAGATTTGAGACGATCTTCTTCTGCTTGCGATCATACAACAAGTCAAGCTAAAAGCAACAACCACAACAAGAGCAGTCCCACATTTGATGAAGTATGGAAATCCGTTGTGGAAAGCAGCCGCGTGCCCGAAATGAGATTGACACCAGAGGACATGCGAAATGTCGAGTTGGGCGTTGAATCTTGGATGGTCTTTTGTCGATTCATTGCTCTTGCCCAATACCTAGAAGCCAAGAGACGATTCTCGGCACGCCACTTGCAACAAACCATGCGACATCGAAACTCGCCCAGAGGAAGTGAACTCGTCGTGGTCGATGTTCCACCACCCGAACCACCCGTCCCACTCTCGAGAGAACAACTCGCCAACTACGAACGCAAGAGTCAGACGCCCCTGCCTCTACCGGAACTCGATCTCGATCACAGTTTGCTCGCAGCACACGAGTCCTCCAAACGACGGGCGTCGTCGTCGTCACAGCAAGGCATTGTCAAAATCAGTCTTTTTGGATCACAGTCACACACGTATCCCAGCATGCCATCCTCGTCCAACAGCCACAACCACAATAATATTGAATTCAAGGTATCCTACATGAAAAGCCACGAAGATGGACCGCCCATTGTCGTGAGACGGTCCATGGAAGACATGAAGTGGCTCAATGACACTTTCACGTCACACAAGGTACTCGGAGGCACGTTGTGTGGAAGAATCTTGCCCCCGTTTCCAAGACATGGCAAACAACATAACCTGACCATGGCACAGTTTCAACGAGACAACGATACCATTTTGAATGCGTCCACCAGTATCAAGAATACCACCGGTGGGGCCATTGCGGCGGCTGCGGCAGGAGTGGAGATACTCAAAGATACCACGACATCCATGTTTGGGCTCGCCAAGACGCTCTGGAAGACTACCACATCGGGGCAAATAATAATAATGCCCAACTCACAGGGCATTATTACCACCATTCAGCCCAAAAAGGCGTTGCCACCTAACAAACCCAAGGCCAAGCCATCACCGTCGCTGTGTTTGGCATTGCCAGAGAGCTACTACAATCCCAATTCACCCGCTGGAAGGGCACGCCAGATCGAACGATACTTGAACTACCTGCTAGAGCATCCGGCGCTCTCCACATCGTTTCCTCTCAACACAATTTTGAAAGTAAGTAAGCTTACTATGTTCTAGGTGCCAGGTAGTGTGTGTGTGCTTGTCTTGTTCGCTTGGTTGGGTAGTATCTGACCTTGTTTGTATCCCACCACATCTAATCTTCTACAAAACAGGCAAGTCAATCGGGCCTAGAAGCTGCCAAGCAATCCTTGGAAGAATGCCTGCGTCTATCAAAAGAAGTAAAAGAGCAAACGCCACAACTGGTGGACGGAAAGACAATTCTGCCTTTCTGGGGTTCTTCCTCGGGCGCGCATCCCAGTCTCTCGTGGGTCCGAACTGCGGCCCAGGCAGCCATGGCGCTGAAAGTACACGGGATCTTGGAAACCACCGGAATGCAGTCGGCCAGTGCACGGCTACAACACGCCTCTCTGCCCAATTTTGATCATCCCGGTGGAAGGCAAATGGATTGGGGAGACGAGGAACAAGACGATAATGCCAACAACAACTCTGGCAATAATGCTGATGCTGCAGCTGAACCGCTGAGTGCGGCAGAACAAATTGGTAGCTTTGAACAAGGGGTGGTCAGCGTACTAAGTGAACTACAGGCTGAAGTACGACCCCCCAACGACGACGATGGATACGACTTGTTGCCACTCCCGATACCAGCTCCAGAACGGCGCATCTTGAGTGCGGGCTACTCGCAGGGTCATCAGACAGACTCATCGTCCGTCTCCAGTGGACCAGGGGGTTCGGTGGATTCACGGGAAGCTCGGTTTCATTACGGTACCCAAACCCTGCGTCGCCGCTTTCCTGTGGACGAAGAGGACGATGCTCGTTCGGCTTTTCTAGGGGATATCTCGGTGGACGAGCACATTGACAAGCTCCGCGAAGTTATTGGATCAGTCGACAACACACTGTCGCGCTGCCTTGCCAGTGGAGGTGCTATTGGAAGGGCTCGTCGAGAGCGGTTGACACTTCACTTGGATATTGTGCAGGGCTTTGATTCCTGGAAGGGGTTGCGTGGCAAATTCATCCAACAGAGAGCACTCTTGAAAGGAGTTTCGGGTATTGAACAAAGCAGTGAGGTGTACGAAGAGAGCGACCTTGTCTTGATTGACGGTACGTTTGTTTGACTGGGACAGACAACTGCTTGCTTTGCTCGTTTCTTTCGTTATTGGTGTACTCACAGCAGGCTTTTCAACTCCGAAAAACTGACCAGACATGTCATGGCAGACTTCGCTTGCCAACTCGGCCGTGTCGGCGGCTGAGGATGTGCGTTCAGCTGTCAGGGCTGCAAGAACCGCCGAGAATGCCAAGGCCGCAGCAAGCGCAGCAGCATACGCGGCACAGAGTACTTGCGATGCCGGAGGATTCCCATCAATCGACGAAGCTCGAGCAGCTCAGACTCGCGCGTCGATTGCTCAAAGCCATGCCTTTCATGCAGCTGTTGTGGAGCATGAAGCCAAAGCCGTCAAAAGGAGGGCCACTCTTGCGTTGGCCCACGACGTCAAATGCTGGAACGTTCACCGCAAACGAGAGATGCTTCAGGCCTGCGTTTCACATGCTCGTTCTCAGCTGGAAGCCACCCGAAGAGCTGTGGATGCTTGGTCTTGCCTTCGGGATGGTTTCATCGGCTCAACGGTGATTCCGGCGGCGCAGACAAGAAAAGCCCCACCTTCCGTCCCAACTTACAGAGTACAAACCGGGATCAACCACCCCAGCAATGCCTCAGAAGCATCGTATTCGCAGTCTTCTTCTTTTGGGAACACCTACATGCAACAACAAAGCCAAAGCCAATCCTCCGCTGTGACCACGGATACGTTGGGCGAAGGTGTCTTTGCTGACTTGTTTGGTGTTTCCAAAGCCAGTTCTTCTTCTGGGTTCTCGTCTGGCAATCTCCAGAACTCCCAGCCAGGGGCATCGGCTTGTTCAATTGGCATTGTGCGTGAGGCCAGTACCGGCACCGATGACGACTTTAATTGCATCGATGCGTCCGAAGTCCCTCTCCAGCAATCCGACCATGAAGATGCAACTGCGACAATTTTCCAAGATACGGCGGGAAAACCCGTCATTGTTGCTGTGGATCACAACATACTCGCGAGCGCCCCAGCTCCGCTGCCATCGGAAATGAAGCCGAACGATGCAGCCAGAGCGCCAGCTGCTGACAAGACCGAGTCAGAAGATTCAGTTCTTCCCTTTGCTCAGCCCATCCTGCCACCGTTTGCGACAGCAGCACCACTGGCAGAGGTCTCCATGGCGGCAGCCCCTATCGCTGAGGTATCAATGCCAAGGGACTGTGTGAGCGGTGGAGCTCCGCCTCATCCCTTTGAAGATCGGAAGAAGAGAACCAAAGATGAGCACGAAATTATGAGTGAATCCATGCAGAGTCTGGTGGACGGCTTGATGAGTTGGGGTGGCCAGTTCGAGGGCGAAGACGTCTTGCCAACTGGCATGGCAGCGAGCATTGCGTTTGAATCAAGTGATACGATGCAATGAGCACGCAACAAGCAAGCAAGCAAGCAAACAAACAAAGAACAAACAAACCGCAATAGAAACCATAAAGAAAGTAAAATTAATAATAAAACAAGCAGTTAACATTTGCTTTGTGCCGTGACTTCAAGCTGTGATGGCTGGTTTCTTTGGCATTGTTTTCCTTCGCCATCAAGTCGGGCCACACCTTTCCTTGAACTGGCTTTTAGCCCAGTCTTTTGCAATAAGAGTTGTTTCGGTGCTGTTTTGTTCCGTCGCAACTCCTTGTTTCGTTGCATGCCGATTGGACGCTTGGAGTCTTCAATATCCATTCTCCGGCCTTTTTCGGCACCAGGATGAGTTACAGTCACACCCTCTGCATAAGTATCAGGGCTCGGTTGGGTCAGGGGTCAAACATGGGGCCAAGCTTGAGGGCACGATGCTTGATGTTGGGGGAACCATGTAGGCACAAATGAGATTCTTGAACTAGCTAGAGCAATGTAGAGTGGGGGCATTGCGTCTTGTCAGCACTGATGTCAGCAAGCCATTGCGTAAGGGCTTGGACTTTGGCGTGCTCGGGTGCTTGCAAGAGTGATTAGATGAAGGTCATACGATTTTAGCAAAAAAGTGACTGAACTAAGTAGGTGCTGCAAAAGGCAACACCAACCATCGTCATGAGCGGTACAGATGCTCTGTTGGAACAATGCCCGTTGTCTTTGCCAGAGCAGGTAAAACTGGTGGACCAAGAGTGAATGCGTGTAGCTATTCTCAAAATGAGCTCCAGGACCTCTACTTGCGCTTTGGTGTTCCTCTCCCATTTTTTGCTTTTCTACTCGTTACAAGGTTTTGTAAGCAAACTAGTTGTTTATACTGCAAGTGTATCCTTTGTATCACTTGGGACTAAATAATCAAGAAAGAACTTCATAAAGTTGCCACACGCAGTGACTTATCTTTCCAGGTGAGCATATCGGTAGTACCGTACCTGGAAACGGGTTACCTGCAAGAAGAACCCGCGCGCACCAAGCCCACCGGAAGCATTCTTGGCTGCACCTGTTTGTTGCAAATGTATATTTATTTCTTGCCCTGCTTCTTATTGTCGTTTTTGTCACTGGCAGCCGCGTTGGATGCAGGATAGGAGAATGACGCCAGAGCATCGCTGAGCCTTGCTTGTTCTTCGGCCCTGCTATCCAAGGGAAATCCACTCTTTTCCAATCGATCGTATGTCTTTTCGCTTTGAATGTTAAAGGCGGCAGTTTCGGCGGATGGATTGGCACCACCGACTTGTCGTTTTTCGTAGGCATATGCCGCCGGTGGTCGAAAGGCCGATGCCAGACCACCGCCACATGTACCACAGTTGCATCCCGCACCATGATCACTGCACATGGCACAGTTGCATCCGGCATCATGAGTGCCACACATGGCACAGTTGCATCCAGCATCATGACCGGAGACACAGGAACCACACTGACATCCTGCGACATGAACACCGGTGGTGCACGTTCCACAGTTGCAATTTTTGGCATGGAGGCACTGGCCACAGGCACAACCACCCGGATGCGACAGTTGTTGCTGCTGACTCAAGACCCATCCCATGGTAGCTCCGGTCGTTGCGACCGTGGCTTGCTGGAGGAATCCGCGACGGGGCATGGACAAAGCTGATGCCACATTGTTGTTGTGTTCACCTGGAGTGGCAGAGATAAAGACACAAACGGCCAATGGCAACGAAAAGCGGAGCTGGGTCATCGTTTTGGCTTTGTTGGATGGTAGCTTTGGTATAAAAGCTGATGTCTGCAATCTACAAAGAAATGATAACTACTTGAAGAGATGATGTGGACGATAGCAAAGCCACGAGAGGGAACGATGGAGGCAATACAACCTTGTACAAATTTATTTCCATATTATTACGATTATCCTAACGTGTCCGCTACGATACAAAGTGGTTGCTTCGGATTGAATAATCAACTAATAATAAAATACAGATACGGGTATACCGAGATCCAATTCTTTCCATGGAAAAATGAACTTGATGTCATGCTTGCCACGGCAACGTCAGTGGCCCTCCACTGACGCACAGAGCAATTTACGTGTTGAGAAGGTCACCGCCCCGCTGAATGAGGAGGCTCACGATCGAAACCCCTCGCCCAGTGCAGTTGAGAGAGCTCTGACGGTAAAGATTTCAACAGAACCGAAACGACGAATGAACACACCATGCACGAACGGCACCGGTGCACTTTATTTTGAATTCTGTCCTCGCATCAATCTTCGAAGCTCATCGACAACACAAGAGAGGAAGAGATAGTCTAGCTAGAAGCAACATGCCACTGACAGCCTCCCAACGAAACATTCCATTGACGAGTCCGGCCCAGAACGAAAAAGTGCCTCTCATGTCAGGTGGTGGCCATGGCAGTATGGGCCTTGACATGGTGGAGAGCGCAAGGCTCTACGTGTCTGGAATGTAAGACCCTCAAAAGCTCTATTTGTTTCGTGAAATAATGTGATCCTTCTGGAGCATCCATCTCACTCCTCACGGTGTTCCACCGTCTTGTCTTTTTCTTGTCTCTCTTTTGGGTTGACCATATTGTTTTTCTCTATTTTTCTTTGCTACCAGGGCATCACGCATGTGGGGATCCATTTCCATGGAAACATTACGACCTTTGCCCATGTTTTTGGGTATCAGCGGCAACAACTTTTGCATGTCGGCAGGAGCCTTTACACCTCCCATCAAGAAAATGGACAAGGCTACTCCCGAAAAAATCACCTCCCGTATCAAACTGAATATTTCCTTCTTTCTCACCAACTATGCTATGGTGGCCTTTGGTGTCGCTGTGGTAGTGGCATTGATGCACCCGGGAATGCTGCTCAGTCTAGGTTTGGTATGGCTGTTATGGTGGGGACACAATTATCTCATTCACAATGAAGTTGTGCTGTTCAATCACAATATTTCCATATTGGTCAGTATTTCCCATCGATTTTATGTGCTCTTTGTCATTTCAGTTGTGGTGGTGGTTTGGAAATGCTTTCGTCCCGCACTTCTGTTTTCTTTCATTACGGGATTCATCATCATGGCACATGCCATCATGAGAGATCCAAAACATATCGACAAATACGGGAGTTCAGGTGCTATACGACATGGGGGATCCTCTGATAGTGATGACGAAGAAGGCAACAATGGCAATGCTGTCTTGGTGGATCGCCCACAATCCGATGTGTGAGGCAAGCAAACAAACAAGATACAATCTACAGGAGTCCTTTCCTATGTTGCATGCAGGATCATGCTGCCATGGGTCACATTTACTTTGGCAGGCACTGTAGCATCCGCAGGACCAATAAAACAATCAACAGTTGCCGGCATACATCTGATCTTTCCCGGAAGTGCCAAGCCTGCTTTTCTTCTAGCTAGTCTTTCGTCGTTTCGTTCTGAACAGCAGATTGTGGGCTAATTTTTTGCAATTGAATTCCAGCATTCAGTAGAGTGATTGTCACATCGTACCGGTACAATCTCCATGATCGCTAGATCGCCGTTCAGTTCAGCTGGCCACCGTACTACCGGTAGCTATTATTAATAGGTACTTTGTTCCTCATGCGTAGACAGCATTCGCTAACTATTAATAGAAGAATACCGTTGCGGCCTGGGGAACGAAGTAGCTACCAGTTGTACCGTATGGTACCGTACGGTGGTGCCCGAAAAGGTTTGCAGGTGAAGGCTGCTTTCGAACGTCATCTTCAGCCACTTCTTGCGGCGAGACGAGGGCGTCATCAGCGGCAGCTCCTTTCAGCCCTTCATCAGAGCTCGCTGGCTATGCATACTGTAGACGATTTGGTCTAGCTAGTGCTGCCACATAGTTTGTGTTATTCTTGAAAACAAACGGGGGTTTAGAGTGGGTAGATTTCTACGGAAGCCAGCTGGTTTTAAAAGCAAAGCAAAGAACATTGAAAATGTTTGGTTTTTGTCTTAATCATCGGAATTACAGCTTCGCATGCTTGTTTGCCATCGACACTGCAATGGCAAGCCCTCGTGTTGGTTGGCTCCCCGTCCAGCTGGGCCAAGATCCATACAGTATGTTCCCGAGGTATCTTCTTCTCTTCTGCTGTCAATTGATCAAGGTGTCTGCTGAAGCATGAGTCTTTCTGTAGAGAAGCTCCTTCACCTCCTGGAGGAAGATCGCAGCAAACGCGAGGATCAAGCTGCTCGGAAACCTTCGACAGTGCTACAGAAGAATGTGCAAGAGGTTTGGCAGAAACATGGAGTCTTGGCTCCATTGCAAGGTAGCTGGAAACGGCCCATTCCGGATCACTTGTATCAATGCTCTCTATCAGCACCACAAACCACTCTAGCAACCTTGTCGTCTTTACCTCGTTCCATTCGATCCCGATTGCCACAAGCCAAACAGAAAGACGAGGTAGTCGAAGTGCCTCTAGCGTATATTCAGATTGACGAAGAAGGTACCGAGGGAGGAGATCCAATGGCAGCAGGAGCCAAGAAACGTCAGCTGGGAGGAAATCTATCCAACAAATTATCTGAGTATACCCGAGGCGTGTCAGGGCAATGTCGACCCTTTCGGGCTGGTGGGTTGGGGACAGACGAAACAACGGCTGCTTCCGAAGAAATTGATTCCTTTCTGTCGCAACAAGCTGTCAAAGATGCCCTAGAAGTGCTGGAAAAGGGATCAGAGGCCAGTTGGAAGGATGGAACAATCATCAAAGCGCCTCCGGGTGTTGATTTCAAGGTGGGACTTAGCTGGGACGATGTTCATGGAAAACCAAAAGACGACAATCCAGCACAAGAACCCGAGGAACCATTTGTCGAGGACTCCGAGCAGCCAAAGATTGATCTGCTAGTTGACCACAGTGAAGAACCAGACTCATGGGCAGAACCGCCAATTGGTGCAGCACAAGCCACATCTTTTGGAACAACGACGCTCTGGACGGCTCAGGATTTTCTCGATGATGATTCTCTGTTTGGCAGCAGCGATGGCGGTGACTCAGACTCTGACGAAATCGTGGTCAAAAAGAAAGGAAAGAAGCCGTTGAAAGACATGTTTGACGACTCTTCTGATAGCGACGAGGATGGAGGGAATGAAGATGAGCAAGTTGACGAAACACAAGACAGTATACCCCCTCCACAGGCCGAAGATAATGACTCTAACCCAGCTGAAGTATCCACGGATGCCGGTGAAGTAGATGAGCTGCTTCTGGAGCTATCCTTGCCAGAATCTGGTGATCTGGACAAGAAACAGAAAACAAGCGTTGCCGACAACAATAATCCATTGGAGCTCGCAGAGCGTCAATCTCGTGACCAGCAAGATTCTACTCGCAAGTCATGGGCCAATACCAAACTCTTGCCCATTGACGACATTAATGCCTGGATTCCAAACCCTGCCATGACCTTCCCCTTCGCCTTGGATGGGTTTCAACAGCAGGCAATAGTGCGCCTGGAACGGAATGAATCCGTCTTTGTGGCAGCGCATACTTCGGCAGGTATGTAATGTATTTGGCTGTTGATTGCACTGCTCATCTAAAGAGGCAAAAGGCTCTGTTGCTAACGTCCATGTCAATCATTCCTCAATAAAAGGGAAAACCGTTGTTGCAGAATATGCAGTAGCATTGGCAAGACAACGGGCCACTCGTTGCATCTACACTTCGCCCATCAAGGTAAGAGTTGTTTTTCTCGTCGTACTGTCTTCTGCACAACGTTTCGACTGAACATTATGGGCACTCTTCCTGTCTCTGTCCAACGCAAAAGGCCCTAAGCAACCAAAAGTTTCGTGATTTCAGCTTGAAGTTTGGGGCAGAAAATGTTGGTCTGATCACGGGTGATATGCAAATCAACGCAGATGATTCGTCTTGTATCATCATGACGACGGAGATTCTACGAAGGTAAGCCACGGACACAAAGTCACGAGGCTGACTGGCTAGAAGCGGTCTCATGGAAAGCGCTTTCGTTCACAGTATGCTCTATCGTGGGGCTGATTTGATCCGTGATATAGAATGGGTGGTAAGGTTGCGTATTTGTTGCCCCTGTGATTGTCGTTTGTATCCCTCAATTATCGATACCTGAACGCTGTTTGTCCAAAGATCTTCGATGAAGTGCATTATATCAACGATACAGAACGTGGCGTTGTTTGGTAGGTCAATCCAAGTTGCGTGATCAGGGCAGCAAAGGTACAAACGTCATTTCTAACATGTGCACCACGCTCCTGGCGACAGGGAGGAAGTGATTATCATGCTACCAGCATACGTCAACCTGGTCTTTCTATCAGCAACTACTCCCAACACCATTGACTTCTCTGATTGGATCGGCCGGACAAAACGAAAGCCCGTTCATGTTGTCCGTACTGGTATGATAAATCTTGAACTCTCCCATCACAAGCCACTCAAGCTACCGCCAAACTCACACTTCCCCCTGTTTCACAGATTACAGGCCCGTCCCACTCTCACACCACATTTGGGCCGGGCTCAAGTTGCACAAGATCTTGGAAGGCAAAGGTGGTTTCCTCGAAAAAGGGTATGCTGAAGCAGCCACTGCGCTGCTTCCTTCCTCTGCAAAGGACTCCGGCAAGAAAGGTAGTGGTCAGAAACCGAAACCCACTGGACGGCAACCAACCGGTTCGAAGCAACTAGCTTGGCAAGCCCAAGGAAGCAAACAAAATTGGATGTCTCTTGTCCGCTACTTGGATAGAGAATTGCTGACGCCAACCGTTGTGTTTAGTTTTTCCAAGAAGGTGAGTACACCCTGCATCTGGCACCAGATCCAGGTACACTGCTTAGATCGTCGTGAACCAGGGCCTAACAGCTCTTCTCCCCAGAAATGCGAAGAGATCTCTGGGATGCTCCGGTCGCTGGACTTGAACACTGCCGCCGAAAGAGGCCTCGTGAAAGGTTTCACGCTGCAGACTCGTGCCAGATTATCTGAACTCGATTCAAAGCTTCCTCAGGTGCTAACTTTGTGCGAGATGGTAGAAAGAGGCATTGGAGTGGTATGTTGACGTCGTGCCCACGCTTCTTGCCCTTGTCTTAAATCACGTTCGGCCTCTTTTCTGACCACGTTTATTGCTCCTGACCAGCATCATGGCGGCTTGCTACCAATCCTCAAAGAGATGGTTGAAATCTTGTTTAGTCGGAATCTTATCAAGGTGCTGTTTGCCACGGAAACATTCGCTATGGGGGTGAATATGCCTGCCAGAAGCGTAGTCTTCAACTCCATTCGAAAACACGACGGTACTCAATTTCGGACTCTGCAACCGGTAAGTGCTGCTTTGGAAGTGACAGAAGATGGTATCATTCCTCCCAAGCAGCTCTAAGCATGTCATTTTCCGTACCGACACTTTAGGGCGAATACGTTCAAATGGCAGTAAGTTTCGCTTTCAGAACAGTTCGTCGGCAGATTGCTGATGGTGCTAACAATTCGCATTCCTGATTACATGGCTTAGGGTCGAGCTGGTAGACGAGGATTAGATACTGTTGGCACGGTCATTCTCTGTGCATTTGGTACAGAGCCTCCACCAATGCCGCAGCTTCGCAACATGCTCACTGGACAGTCCACGTTGCTGAAATCCCAATTTCGTTTGACCTACAACATGTACGATTGGATCAGCCCCCTCGCTTGCAGTTGTGCGTCCATTGACTGATTGATTCCTCATCTTGTCGCCTTCTTCCCCGTGACAGGATCCTGAACCTGCTTCGAGTCGAGGAAATGAGCGTTGAAAGCATGATCAAGCGGTCTTTCAGTGAATTCGCTGCGCAGAGAGCGCTGACAGCCAACGAATACCCCAAGCTCTTGGCGCGGGGAACACATACTTTGAAGAAACTGGATGAAGCCTTTCAGGCAGATACGGAACTTAGGATTGGACTTGAAGATGTCGAGCCATACTTTGCCATCTGTTCCGAATTGCTAAGTGCCAACAACAAGTTACTTTCTCGCGTTATGGAAGCTACCACTGGAAGCGGGGAAGGTGTCCTGCAGCCTGGTCGTCTGGTCTTAGTTACAGCTGCACGGAAACTCAATCTCGTGAGGGCTCCTGCGTTGGTCCTCCGCGTATCCGGCAGGAAGCCTGGAACTAAGGAACAGTCGACAATAATCTGCCTCGCGCTTCTTCCCGAAAGTTACGTGTCCTCGGCTGATGATGCGGTCAACGACCTCAAGGGATCGAAAATGCCCGCCAAAGTAGGATACATTGGATCTGCAGAGCGGAGGTACTTTCATATTTGTGAGGTTGGCTTGGGTGAGGTTTTTGCGGTCACATCCACCAAGCACAAAATCGAGGTCAAAGAACTGCTCAATGACGGCCCTGGAAAGTCACAAGGCGACAATCGAGGGTTCTTTGCTGCGGCCCCATCAGTAGGAAGAAAGGCGGAACCTGGCGATCCATTCGCTGGTATGAAGTCACTGGGTGCGGCTCGTGGCAAGACTAGTGAGTCGGCTGATAGCTTTGGTCGGCCGTCCAGAACCGGGCAGGGAATTGATGAAGCAATGAAATACCTTGTTGCCGCCGAGGAGAAAGAGCGCGAAGTAGGCAATCCCATCATGGACCTGAAGGATTGCTCACGATGTGGAGGTGACGCCATCGAGTTTCACCAGCTCTATGACCACATAGCCGATCTCTTGGATCAGGTGCGATCCTTTGCCTCTCACAGGCATCCGGGTTTAGAAAGGGTCTACACCCCCTTCGAACGGAAGGAAACCTTGCGGAACAAAGTCGATGCACTGCGCCATTTGCTGTCAAATGAATCGCTGAATCTCTTTCCTGATTTCTTGCAGCGAAAGCAAGTTTTGATGAAACTTGGTTACGTCGACGAAAACGAAACGGTCTGTGTCAAGGGTAGGGTGGCGTGTGAAGTCAATACTTGTGACGAACTCATCGCTACCGAACTCGTTTTTGAGGGTATTTTGAATGATCTGGAACCTCCTGAGATTGTGGCTGCGCTGAGTTCTCTGGTGTTCCAGGAGAAGAACAATGAAGACTTGGACGTGGAGCTACCAGAAACACTTCGCGCTTGCTGCACGCAGATGAAGTTGATTGCCAAGAATTTGGGCGTATTGCAGAAAGCCTGCGGCCTGGAGATCGATCCACTTGAGTATTGCGACAACTCTTTGAAGTTCGGGCTCGTTCATGTGGTCTATGAGTGGGCTTTGGGAGTGCCATTTGCCAAAATTTGCGAGCTCACCCTAGTCCAAGAAGGGTCAATCGTGCGGTGCATGACGAGACTCGATGAGCTTTGCCGAGAGATTAGAAACTGCAGCAGGGTAGTTGGGTGAGTGCGACACTGAGATCCTGGGCCACAGGATCGTTGGAATGGTTGGCTTGCAGTTCCTAATGATTCCAATTTCCCTTCTCTAGAAACCCGTCGCTCTACCGAAAAATGGAGATCTGCAGGTAGGTAGTTCATACTCGGACCTTCTTTGCTTCAATGTGTCATGTCCTCACCCTTTTACCGCCGTGCAAATCCAGTGTGTCTATCAAGCGTGACATTGTTTTCGCTTCAAGTTTGTATGTGTCATAGTTGTGGTGAATGATTCAATCAACAATCAAACAAGACGGGAACGTCTCTGCTACAAGGTGCGGGCTTTGCAGCCGCTACTAAACCGGAAGCTACTAATGAAGGATACAAGATGTGGTTGTCAACACTAATATTTTTTGATAGACTCAAAACAACTGCTACAACTAACTGAACTGGGACTACAGCACGGTTTCTTGGACTTTGATTGCAATGCATGGTTTGCACATGGGTTTTCTGGCACAGGCTGTCAGCGAATGGTGTAGGAAACAATTCTCGATGGTTCACTCAGTCCTCGGCATTCTCGGACACGTACTCGCGCTTGACGTTGCCTTGCGAGTCCAGTGTCACTCCAATGAACGCTGGATCCGCTGTGACGCCATTCGCGTCGGTGCCACCAGTCTTCTTTCCCTGGAAGGAAGAGAAGTTGCGTCGTGAGTTCATCTTCGCTGGTCCTCCCCGTCGGCGAAGCGCTGCTTCTCGAGCAACGGATACGACTGCTTCGTCTGTGTCCATAAAAATTGGACCATCACCTGATTTGCATTTCTTCATGGTGACTTGACCCTCGGACATCTCTTCAATGTTAATAAGAAACTCTGTGTGCAACCTTTTGCGCTTCCTCCACTCTGCAGCCATCTTGGGAATGGCTTTCTTGAGTTTCTTCTTGCGGCCTTCGTTGGCCAAGTTGCCCCGTGCGCCTTCCACATTCTCGCGAAGCTTACCCACTTCCATGTCCAAAGTAGCAATGCCCTGGGCGGCCTCTTCGTTTGTGGGTTCCGCTTCCAGCTTCTCCGCAGTAGTGGTCAAATTGCGTAGCTCCGATTGCAATGTTTTCTCTTCATCGGCACTCATTTGGTACTTTCCCTGCACCTCGTTGTAGGCATCCGGGTCGAGGTCACCTCCGTTCTTGCACTTGGTGTGGTTGACGTAGTAGATGCCCTTTCCTTTCGCTGCCTTGTGGCGCATCGACCCACTGAAAGGATCGTCCGACTTGGTTGATTTGGCTTTCTTGGGACCGTCCTCGTCGTCATCTTCGTCGTCATCGTCCTCGAAAGAGATCTCCTTGTTCAGCTCGGCCATCTCATCAAGACACTTTTTGAGAATCATGCCTGGAGATGGATGAAGAGACGAGATATATGATAAGCGGCATGTTGCTATCAGATGCCTTTGTGATGGGTGGAACAAGCAGCTTCTTAGACTTACCTGGCACCTGCCCTTTGAGCTTCTGTGCGAATGGAGAAAGGCGAACGATGGTCAACAACTGCAATGAACTCGTCGCTGCCGACTACTTTTGATAATTTATTTCCTACACGGAAACGGTACGAACCTTGTAGATGTCATCAACTTCCATGGGACGCATTTCGTCGTAGAGTAGGTCATAGATCAGCTTCTTTGCTTCGGCCTTGCCCAAGACAAGTTCGCTTCCACCGAGTTCCTTTGCCTTTTCCAACCACTGGGCATGAGCCTTCAATGTTTTCTCGCTAGCGCCAGCACTCTTCTTCTTTTGATCGGCTTTTCGGGGAATGTCGTACGGAGTAGGGGAGGGAGTGATTGCCGAGGACTTCTTCTTGGAAGAAGAGCTAGCCTGTGAACGAGGGACAGGTGTCAGATTGGAATCGTTGCAAACAGAGCCGCCACCGTTCTTGTGCGAAGCATCGGGCTTTGGAGACAATACAGTTCCAGAAGGCGCAATGCTTCGATCGATCAAGGACGGCGAGCTCCCAGGCGCGCAGCAGAACTTTCGTAGATTGCCTTCGTGTTGGGATGTTGGCAACTGGCTGTTGGGGAAATCTTCTAGCTTGTCCGGCCATCCCTCAAAGTCTTCGTCTTGGCAGTTCAAGCAGTAGTACCAGCGCTTCTTAGTGTCAGTCCCTTCGTACAAGACACAGGCAGGGATTTCCGAGCAGATCTTGCAGAGCACGCCATCACTCTTGACCTTCTCCTCTGACAGAATGGCAACCAAGTTGTAGTCGCTGTCGTCTTCTTCTTCCTCATCGATTTCATTGTCGCTGTCGGCGGATGCTTTGGCTTCATCACTCTGATCGCCCTCGCGGGACTCGTTCGCTTGTTCTTGTTCCGTCGATTCTTCCACAATGACATTGGCAGTGTCGGTCGCCCCACCATCGATGTCGTCGGTCAACGTCTTGTCGACACTCGAAGGGCTTGTAGAGGGTGTCTCGGTTGTTTCGGACTCGGTTTTTGTCGGAGAAGTGGCTTCGTCCTCAATTTTCACCGCCTTTTGAAAGTCGTCTTCGATCGTGCCATCCGACTTGGTCTCTTTTGCGTCTTCTTCTTGGGGATCGACCGGGAGCTCGACTCCTTCGGGCCATCCTCCAAAGTGCTCTTCTTGACACTCTTTACAGGCATTCCGATGCTTCTCGGGCTCCGATTTGCTGGCGCAGACAATGACAACCTTGCTCGTGCAACCATCGGTGGAACACTGCAAGTCGTCGCTCTCGCTCCCAGAAATCGTTCGAACGAGATCCCACAGTTCCTCATCCTGATTCGCCTTTGCGCTACTGACCTTTGATGTTTTCCCTTCCTTCGCCTTCTTCTTGCTCTTGGCAGAAGCGCCTTTTTTGTTGCCGCCTTTCGCCATCTTTCCGAACAAAGGGTCTCCACAGTATCGTCTCGACAATCGATCGACCGAATCAACGACTTGGTGCGTAGAAGCCGTTAATGAGCAAGAGCAAAAAGGAAAAGAAAGGAGGCTTGGGGAAAACAGCAGTGGTGCGGAGGAAGCAGCAACGGAAAATTGGAGTTTGGTCTCAAACCAACAGCAGCGAAGTGAGGAAATGAGGTCCTCAAGTCGAGTCTCAGAAGAGAGCGCTTTCTAGCTTTGGTTGGACACTGCTTCCGCGACTAGGGAATGGATTTGAATTCCGACCGGGACTCATATTTCGCGCCTTTTGCGCAACCTGCTCTTCTCGCAAAAAGGCTGCTACCCAGCATGGCGACCATTGTGGTACCGGTACGGTGGTACTGGTACGGCTACCGCATGCTACTATTGTACTACTGTAGTACACGTCGCAACCTGCAGCCGTCGTTAGCTAGCTACAGTAGTAGCTAGTGCAGAGAAGTAAAGGAGAAGAGGTTGGACTGCTGCTACTGATGTCTGGAAAATGGAGAAGCACTAGTAGGATTTCCTTGGACAAAAACTATCGAGAAAGCTGAACTACACCAAGCCTACATTTCTAGAGAGGAGGCAGGGCAGCCAGGCAGCAGATCCCTGTTTATCAATTGCGGAATCAAACAGCTGGTACTGGTTCAAAACCTTCCTCTCTATACACGGTAACTCTCAAGTTGTTGTGTTGGGAGATGGCACACCCAGGATCTTGGGGGAAGCCATACAATTAAAAATAATGTCAGTGGTTGTTGCTGCAACTACTGGAGCTGCAGAGTCCCTGCAAGGAACTTGACTGGGTTTAGTTTGGTGTTGCTAGGATGCTACCTACTGATACAAACGTCAATCAATCAAAGGTCCAACCAAGTGGACTATCTCCTGGACCTGCCCATCACAAGAACTAGAATTCCAACAAAAGCCACAGCTGCACCAACACCAGCCAACATTAGCGTGTTTTGGTCCAATGATGGTCCCACTTCCTTTGCAGTGAGCTTGATTGCCTTGTGGCCTTGTGATCGGGAAATGCTGGCAGCTTCTGCAAGGCAATCATCACTACTAACAACGATTGTGTCTCCTTCATCATCCACAAACTGGAGCTGGATTCCTGTGGGCAAACCTTTCTGAGCCAAGGCAGCCATGAGCTTGTCAACAGTCAAATCACTTCGAACACGATGAGTATTGCCCTTGGGGTCAACCACCTTGAAAGTAACCTGTGCCCCCTCGGACACGGAAAGAACACTTTTTGATTCCACCCGTGTATCGTTGATTGTACTTGTGTCATCCTCGATGCGAAATTCCAGAGTGGTAGGGATATTGTTGGGAAAGGGAGAACTTGGAGTAGACCGTGCAGCCACAGCCCTTTGGCGGGGAGTAGCGGCAATGACAGGAAGGTCTCCAACCTTGGATACAGATGCTGAAGCATCATCGCTGATGCTACCACTATCCAGTGCATTGCTAAAGATGGATCTCCAACCTTCCTTCCCTCCACAGGCCAAAACCAGATCCATCACATCAACAACACCCAATACAGTGTCATTGCTGTCACAAACTGGCAAGGTCAAGAATCGGTTATCATGCATCACCTGCATTGCCTCCAGTACTGTCATTTCACTGGACACAGATTCAGGATTGGCAGTCATCACATCTGAAACCAGTGTTGAGTCAGGTGAAAGCTCATTGGCAATTACTCTGGTCATCATATCCTTGAAGCCAAAGATCCCCGTAAGCACTCCATCTTCAACCACCAGAGCTGCCTTTCTGTGTTGGGCCATCAGCAAACCTGCTTCTCTTGCACTAGCTTCTGGTGACACTACAGTCAGTGGAGGCTTTCCTGCAAGGAGACTACCCAAAGTTGGTGAGGTTTGGTTTCCAAAGGCTTTTGACATGACTTGGCCAAGCAAAGCTTGCAATACCAATGCTTGAGATCCGCTAGAGCCTTGCTGATTCACCACTTGCTTCACAACATCTTCTGCAGCAACACTAGTCTTATCCACAGACTTCTCTAGCTTGGTGATGGCATCGTTCAAACACTTTGCAATGTCCAAGACACCAACAACAGAACCACTATCATCCAGCACTGGAAGATGTCTGAAGTGATTTTCCACCATTGTTGCCATAGCATCCATAGCAGAGTCAGACATAGATACACAAGTGGGATCCTGCGTCATCACAACAGCAACATTTGTGGTTGCTGGATCCACTGACTTGGCCACAACTCTCCGGGTGATGTCCACATCTGTCACAATGCCAGAGAGTGTTCCAGAGCTATCCACAACAATGGAAGCATCACCTCTCTTACTGGCAAGCATTTGAGTCACAGACAAGATGCTGTCTTCTGCGCCAGAAATCAAGGGTTTCTTTGGTCTCAGCTTTGATACTGGTCTTGCATCCTTTTGTGTGGATTGGGTCTTTCTTGAAAACCCAGGTACAGACTTTCCTCGGCTCTCACGGCTATAAACAGATGCTGTTTCGGATAGGTCATCCATCTCCATAGTCTTATTGAATATGGACCTCCAACCATCTTTTCCACCACATGCTAGAATCACATCCATCACATCAACAACTCCCAGGACAGAGCCATCATTACCACAGACTGGCAATGTCAGGAATTTGTTGTCATGCATTGTTTGCATGGCTTCCAGAACTGTCATTTCGTTGGATACTGATTCAGGGTTCGCAGTCATAACATTAGACACAACTGTTGAATCTGGCGGCAACCCTTTGGCAACAACCCTACTCATCATGTCCTTGAAGCCAAAGATCCCTGTAAGCACTCCATCTTCAACCACCAGAGCTGCCTTTCTGTGTTGGGCCATCAGCAAACCTGCTTCTCTTGTACTAGCTTCTGGTGACACTACAGTCAGTGGAGGCTTTCCTGCAAGGAGACTACCCAAAGTTGGCGAGGTTTGGTTTCCAAAGGCTTGTGACATCACTTGGCCAAGTAATGCCTGTAATGCCATTGCTTGGGATCCACCAGAGCCTTGCTGATTTACCACTTGCTTGACAACATCTTCTACAGTTGTGCTGCTCTTGTCAACAGATTTCTCTAGCTTGGTGATGGCATCGTTCAAACACTTTGCAATGTCCAAGACACCAACAACAGAACCACTATCATCCAGCACTGGAAGATGTCTGAAGTGATTTTCCACCATTGTTGCCATAGCATCCATAGCAGAGTCAGACATAGATACACAAGTGGGATCCTGTGTCATCACAACAGCAACATTTGTGGTTGCTGGATCCACTGACTTGGCCACAACTCTCCGGGTGATGTCCACATCTGTCACAATGCCAGAGAGTGTTCCAGAGCTATCCACAACAATGGAAGCATCACCTCTCTTACTGGCAAGCATTTGAGTCACAGACAAGATGCTGTCTTCTGCGCCAGAAATCAAGGGTTTCTTTGGTCTCAGCTTTGCCACAGCTCTCAACTCCCGTTTTGTGGATTGGGTATTCCTTGACATGCCAGATACAGATTTTCCTCGGCTTTCTCTGCTGAAGACTGAAGCAGAGTCTGAAAAATCATCCATTTCAATGGTTTTGTTAAAAATAGATCTCCACCCATCCTTCCCCCCACATGCTAGAATCACATCCATCACATCAACAACTCCCAGGACAGAGCCATTGTTACCACAGACTGGCAATGTCAGGAATTTGTTGTCATGCATCACCTGCATTGCCTCCAGGACCGTCATTTCACTGGACACAGATTCAGGATTGGCAGTCATCACACCAGACACAAAGGTTGAATCTGGGGGTAGCCCTTTGGCAACAACCCTACTCATCATGTCCTTGAAGCCAAAGATCCCTGTAAGCACTCCATCTTCAACCACCAGAGCTGCCTTTCTGTGTTGGGCCATCAGCAAACCTGCTTCTCTTGTACTAGCTTCTGGTGACACTACAGTCAGTGGAGGCTTTCCTGCAAGGAGACTACCCAAAGTTGGCGAGGTTTGGTTTCCAAAGGCTTGTGACATCACTTGGCCAAGTAATGCCTGTAATGCCATTGCTTGGGATCCGCCAGAGCCTTGCTGATTCACCACTTGCTTCACAACATCTTCTACAGAATTGCTGCTCTTGTCCACAGATCTCTCTAGCTTGGTGATGGCATCGTTCAAACACTTTGCAATGTCCAAGACACCAACAACAGAACCACTATCATCCAGCACTGGAAGATGTCTGAAGTGATTTTCCACCATTGTTGCCATAGCATCCATAGCAGAGTCAGACATGGATACACAAGTGGGATCCTGCGTCATCACAACAGCAACATTTGTGGTTGCTGGATCCACTGACTTGGCCACAACTCTCCGGGTGATGTCCACATCTGTCACAATGCCAGAGAGTGTTCCAGAGCTATCCACAACAATGGAAGCATCACCTCTCTTACTGGCAAGCATTTGAGTCACAGACAAGATGCTGTCTTCTGCGCCAGAAATCAAGGGTTTCTTTGGTCTCAGCTTGGACACGGGGCGCTCTTGCGTAGACTCTGGAACAGCTGCCATTTTGCCTTCTCGGAGTTTCTGGGCTGGAGCTCTCCTTTTCTGAGATGTAAAGCTGCTAACTGAACCCGCATCAGAAGAGTCATCGTCTATTTCCATTGCACTTGTGAAAATCGACCTCCAACCATCTTGACCACCACAAGCAAGAATGACCTCAAACACGTCAACCACACCAACCACTTGTCCACCGGCTTTGCAGACAGGTAGTGTAAGAAACCGATGGTCGTGCATTATCTGCAAGGCCTCTAGGACTGTTGTATCTGGAGGAACAAACTCAGGATGCTCAGTCATGACAGTTGCCACAGCTGTGGTCTTCAGAGGCAGCTCTTTGGCGACAGCACGTGTCATCATGTCCTTGAAGCTGCAAATCCCACAAAGCTTCCCTTTTTCCACAACCAGCACTGATTTTCGATGTTCTGCCATGAGCATGCTAACTTCTTGAAGACTGGCTACTGGAGCTACAAATGCTTGTGGCTTTCCTTGGAGAAGGCTTTCAAGTGTAACTGATTCCTGTTCACTAAATACCTTGGAAATGACGTCTCCCAGCAGTGCCTGAAGGGCTAAGCCATGTGCATCGCCATTCCTAGTTGTGCCAAGGACCTGCTTAATGGTTTCCTGGGTCATGCCAGCCTTGCTTTTTGTCTGTGCTTTCTCCAGCTTTGTGATGGCATCATTGAGGCATTTCGCTATGTCCAAAAGGCCAACAACTGAGCCCCGTTCATTCAACACTGGAAGATGCCGAAAGTGATTCTCAATCATTGTCCCCAAGGCATCCATTGCTGAATCACTGAGAGAGACACACACTGGGTTTGGGGTCATGACTTCTTTCGCGGTGGTAATGCTTGGGTCCAGTCCTTTGGCAAGTGCTCTCCTGGTAATGTCCACATCTGTGAGAATACCACTCACTCCTCCCCGCGATGAAAGAACCAAAGCTGCATCCCCACGCTTGCTTGCAAGCATTTGAGCAACTGATAGTATACTGTCTGTAGAATCTGAACAAAGAGGCTTCCTAGGCCGGAGCATTGAGACAGGACGCTCGTGGTTTGATTCTTGGAGGGCACCCATATTTCCTGGGCCAAGCTGTGCTTGAGGTTTGCCCATCTTTGAGAAGCTTACTGCTGAGGCGGCATCAGATTCGTCATCATCAACTTCCATGGCACTGCTGAACAATGACCGCCAGCCATTCACACCCCCACATGCATTGATGACATCAATGACATCTACGACACCAAGTACATCACCACTTTGTGAGCACACAGGGAGTGTTAGGAACTTGTGGTCATGCATTGTTTGCAGGGCTTCAAGAACTGTCATTTCTGGTGGTACAGATTCAGGATGCTCAGTCATGACAGATGAGACTGTAGTTGTATCCAATGGCAACTCCTTGGCTACTACTCGAGTCATCATATCCTTGAAGCCAAAGATACCAACTAGTTTGCCTCCTTCCACCACGAGGGCCGCTTTTCTGTTTGAAGCCATAAGGCTGCCAACATCCTTGATGCTAGTGGATGCATCTACAGTTGTGCTTGGCTTCCCGGAAAGTATACTCCCAAGTGATGGTGAAGACTGGCTTCCAAAGGCATTTGTCATCATCTGGCCAAGCAGTGCGTGCAATGCAACAGATTGGGCATCTTGATTGTTTTGGCTGCCAAGGACTTGCTTCACGGCATCTTCTGCCATGCTACTGTGCCTCTCTTCCGACTTCTCGAGCTTGCTGATGGCGTCATTCAGACACTTTGCAATATCCAAAAGGCCGATCACAGCTCCAGACGCATCAACAACCGGCAAGTGGCGGAAATGGTTTTCAATCATTGTGGTCAATGCATCAAGTGCGGAGTCAGTCAAGGAAACACAAGTTGGATTCGGCGTCATTACGTTTGAGACAGCAGTTGCCTTGGCATCGAGATCCTTTGCAACAACACGCCTTGTGATGTCCACATCGGTGAAGATACCACACAATCCTCCTTTTGCATCCACCACCAGCGAAGCATCCCCTCGTCTGGTGGAGAGCTCCTTTACGACTGAAAGAACGCTGTCAGTCGATGATGATATCAAAGGTTTCCGTGGTCGCAACTTGGAGACAGGTCTAGCTCGAGTCGTCTTGGGAGTCGGGTTTGTAGCATTTGTTGACCTTTTGACTGGCACAGAATGAATACTTTGCGCATCGGATGGCACACCAGAGGACTTCACTACAGGCATTGATTGAACACTTTGTGCATCCCAGTTTGCTGCGGAAGCGACTGGTGCCTTGGCTGACTTGGCAACAACGGGCGCCCCCGCCTTCGCGGCGACTTTGGCCCGGGGGGCAACAGAGGCCTTCTGCTTCGAGTTGGCATTTGCCATGACAGCCACTTTTGGTTGCAGGGAAGGCATGGGCTGCTTAGGTTGCTTCTCTTTCTCCTTTTTCAGCTTCGTTTCGAGAGTCTCTATGCTTTTGTTGATTACGTCTGCGCCCGAGAAATCCTTTTGTGCGACCGCGTTTTCAAACTCTTTGCGGCTTGCTCGTAACTTCTCTTCGATTTCCGAAATTGTGGGAAGGGTCTTCCGAAACCCTTCAAGCTCTTCCGTCAATGAATGAAGCTCTTCAGCCTTTGCAAAATTCTTGGAAGCCACCGCCTTGGATACCTCTGCCGAAACTGCCATCAGCTCATCTTCCAGGTCGGCTCGTGTTTCAAAAGTCTTCGTCTGCCCGTCCAGCCCAACTGCGGTTGCACCGCTGCTTGCAGTTTCACCCGAGAGAGGATCGGCATCTTTCATCTGAGACTTTTCTTGCTCGATTTTGGCTGCGAGAGCATCGATTTGATTATGAAGCTCTCCTGCATCGGCAAAAGCTTTCTTCTGAATTGCTCCTTCAAGTTCCTTCTTCAACGCGATCATTTTGTCTTCCAGCTCCTGCAGTGAAGGGAAGAACTTTCGAAAGGATTCCTTTGACTCTAAAGTCTGCTGCAAGGAAGAAGCCGTCTTGAAGTCCTTCGCATTGATTGCGCTGTCAATTGATTTGTGCAATTCGGATATTTGCTCTTCAAGCTGAGCCCTAGATTTGACTCCATCAATTTCAAAATCACCGGCTTCACCTGCTTTCGGCTCTCCCGCCTCGTCCTCGCCATCAGTCTCGTTCTCATTGGCCATCGCCTCTTCCAAGCGACGTTTTGCAGTGTCAACGGCTGCTTGCGCTTCAGCAGCACCAGAAAAGTCTCGCTTGGAAGCAGCCAGGGCAACGGCTTCTTCGGCAGCCCGAAGTCCATCCTTGAGTTCCTGAAGCGTCGGCAACATTTCTCGCTTCGCCTTAAGCTCGTTGATTTGCTGCTGCAAAGGATCGCAAGCTGCATATTCTTTGCGGGAGAGTGCTTCAGAAAAGTCTTTTTCTGCCTGCGCAATGCGCTCTTCGAGCACCGCACGAGTAAGAGGTCTCTTTGCCTCTAAAACTTCCTTCACTTCATCGCTGAGCATTGCAAAGGTACAGAAAACAAAATAAAATGAGACGCAAGCACATCGCCGCAATAACGTACAGACACATTTGGAGCATACATCTTTGTTTCCAACTCTGCAGCAAGCTTGAAATCTTTTTCTTTGACTGCAGCTTCAAGCCGGTTTTGCTCTTGTGCCAGCAGCCGCTTTACATCCTTGAACGTCATTCCCAGATAAGGATCCCGAAGGTGTTGTGCATAGGTGATGGCAGCCTTTCGACGCTGAAGCGCTTGCAACTTGATCACTGCAACGAGAACAGCAGCGTAGCGTTTCTTTTGCGCGTAACCTCGATAGGCCGCGGCTACTTTGTTCGCTGCCCGTCGCTTTCGATACAAACGGATCATGTGGAGTCGGAACCGAATCCAAGGAACTAGCAGACGGTTAACTCGAGTTGTTGCGACGCGTTTGCCAAACCTCCCAATCGTCCTCACAGCCCTATGAACGCGCAAAGTTGCGAGTCGCTCGAGCTTCTCTGATAGTTCTCGCCGTAGGAAAATTTTTGAGTGCCCAATCTGCCAATCTGTGAGCGACGGCAAAGCGATATGTGAGCAGCATGCTGTCATAGTGATATCGTTGCGATGAGCATGGCGCAGGACTTACCTGCGTCAGTAACCGAGAGGCGCTTCGAGAGGACCTTCACCAAATGCTCAATGCCTGAACCACCCTGCATGTCTTCCTGACTGAGCAAGACACTGAAGCGATTGTAAAAGCTCTCATGGTCTTCTCGCAGTGCATAGCCTTCTCGACGAATGCGAATTGCTTCCATCATGCCGGAGTATCGCAGCTGCTTCAGTACCTCTCCCGATGAAAACGCATTTGGTGATTTCTGTAAGTTTGGTTTGATGCACCTGATGTAATGAGGCTGGGTTTTCTCAAGATCGGCAACAAGAATCTGCAGAGATGCGCGGAACTGAGAGCCGACGCTGACACCTCGAATAGTTGACCGCTTGGGTGACGGTCCGGTGACACCACCAACTCCGCCGGACGCAAAAACATCGCTGACCAGAGAGATTGTCGAGTCATATCCTACTGAACGCAGTTCGTTGCTCAAAGTTTCCATGTTCTTTTCTACAAAGCCGTCTACAGTGTATCGCACCTGGAAACAGAAAATGGTTTGTCAGATGGGTTTCTTCAAGAAATTCATAAAAGGAAAACAGGGAAGTACGTACCTCTCCAGCAAAGTGGACAACGACGAACTGATTGTCTTTTCCAAACTTTGGCGTTACGAAGTAATCATGTGACCGTTGACCGTTCTTCTGTTGCTTCTTCACCTCGGTCCCTGGAGTGCTTCCGTACGTCTTGTGAAGTTGGTTCACAAATTTGATGTCCTTTTCACCTGCGTTTCCCATACCACCCCATGCGTCATCCAGTGTATTGAGGATTCCAACCGTTCCTCCTCCCCCCTCAATCAGGTCCAGGCAAGGTCGATTGTCGTTGAAGGTGATGTACGTCCAGTCAATTCCTTCTGAAGTGTAGAGATTCTGTTCCACGGTGAACACGTTTTCATTGAACTGCCGCTGTAGCTTCTCGTTGCAATAGTTGATCAAAAGTTGTTCGTAGCCATTCTCTTGAAAGCACTCAAAGCCATAAATATCCAACACTCCGATGAACACTGACTCATCTGCGACCGCGGCATCCCCCACAGCCTTCTTCTTTGTCGCTTCGGTAACTTCCTTGCTGTTGGATGTTCTGTCCAATGTTTCATTGATGCAATTGACGAGCCAAACAAACGCACAGGAATATGCCAACTTGGCAAAAGCATCACGCTTTTCCGCGGCATTGGCGACAGTTTGGGCCTTTTTGATCGTTTTTCCGCCAACGATAATGTTTTTTGTCAAGATTGCATCTGCAACTTTTGCCTCGTCCAATCCGAGGAGCTCGCACGCCTTGGTCAAGCTGGGCTTACTAGCTTCGGAAATTGTGGCATGTTCACTGTGGCCCGGTTCGCCGGACTCCCCCTTTTCCTCAAACTGCACATTTCCCAAATGCAACACACCGGCTGCAATGCGAAAGACTGCCAGCTGTTCTTCCTCCGAGAGACCTATCCGTGACAAACACTCGCGCGTTTCTGCAAACGCATCGGCATCCACGTCGGTCCTGATGGTGTCCGATCGGTTCCCTAGATAATTGAATGCTTCCGACCCACCTTCGAGTCCCATATCGGCCAACATTTCCGCGTCAGCTCCTGCCAATAGCTGGTAAAAGATGTGGTAGTTTCGTTCACCATCGACTTGTTGGGTGATACGAGTCTTTTCGAGCAAATAGTTGGATAAGGAGGCACCGGTGATGGCACCGGTTTGTGTATTGAAGAAGATGTGAATGTACTTTCCAAATCGAGATGAATTGTCGTTTCGAAGGGTTTGGGCATTTCCAAATGTTTCGAGCAGTGGATTGGAGGAGAGAACGCGGTCCTCGAGGGCGGCAATCATTTTCCCATCAGGGCTCATGAGGGGATTGGACGAAGAGCTTTTGGACTTTTTGGTGATGCGTGCAAGATACTTCATAATGTACTTTGTGGCTTCCGTTTTCCCCTGCATACAAAGGCAAACAAAAGATTGTCAGGGACTGGTTGGTCCATTCCAGCAAGCAAGCAATCAGTGTCTGTGTGACAAATCAAAAACTTACAGCACCACTCTCACCACTAATGATAATACTCTGATTTCGTGCTCTCCCAGGAGGAACATGGTGCTCGGTCAACATCATGGCATCTTCATCATCCATGTGCTTGAATTCCATACTAGGGTGAACCGAATCCATCATGGCAACATATGCCCGATCGGCAACTTGGAATAGATGTGGTGGTTTGTCGGTTGAAAAATCCCCTTGTGTTCTATACTTCAACATGAGTTCTTCCGAGTAGAGTGATGCTCCATTGGGCAAGTTGATTATTCGATAGGGGTTGATCGAGATGAGAATTGGTCCTGCACTTGTGTAGATTTCGTCCCTTTTGTATCGGATTCTCAGGGTATGCAACAGACTCGCTTCCGTGACATGAGGTAGATGAAGAATGTCGTCTAGTCCCATGTAATCGTCAGGTGCTGTCAGTGCCGTCAACTTGGCACTAGAGTAGATTTTGTGTAGACTCCCATCCGACGTTTTGACCAGGGTTGGCCCATCATAGGGCTCGGTGTTTGTCGTTTTGCCATCATCTTCCAGTCGCTTGATAATGGTACAGGGTATAAATAGATGTTTGGAAGCATACAGTGCATCGTCATCCGCTCCATTTTTGCCTAGGCTTTTGCTGGAAGAGGGGGTCCTGAAAGATGTAGTACTATCGTTAAAAGATTCGTTGGAAGGCATTATCAGCGTGGGATCAAAAAAATATTCGACGACTGCTTTGCCCGTCACCTGATAATAGAGGCGGAAGAAAGGCATAAGGAAATTTATCTTCGTGACAATACCAACGAAATCTGCACAATAACCAACTAACTAAACTCACCAAATCCACGGCCTTTGCCTTCGTTCCAACCTTGCCAGTCACCGATTGACGTCCCGCCATGGACCGGCGAGGAGTACGGAAAGGGGATGCCATCGTGATGCCACTCTTTTCCTGGAATGCTTCAAGATAAAACTACCGGTAGCTAGCTAGAGAGGCTAGAGATAGAGATCCCTCAATTGTCACTGCAATGGTTAGAGAATGCGGATAGCCCAACCACGAGGCTATTGCAGATGCGATGTAATGCCAACGTGTGCGAAAGGTCCAATAAAATCGTTTCGGGTGGATCTTTCGATTTTTTCTCTCTCCTCGTCATGCATCACATTCAAAATCGTCAGACCACAAACGAGTGTTTTTACACCCAGTCCAGACGATGCGAACTCCACTGTTCCCAGCAAAACACAGGGTGCTTGTACCTGGTACCGGTACGGTAAGAGCCACTCCCAGGACAGCTAGCTAGCTAGCTAGGTGGGTGCACCCAACTTGCTTTTACTAGCCACGGAGCTGGGCTAGAAACCTTACACAACGCTGATTCCCTAATCCCCATATGTTGCCAAAGGCAACGCATGAATGGTGGTACATCATAATGGCTAGCTAGATTAGTAAATCCAGCCTTAGCTGAATTTACATATACCGTACATAGTACGATTCTTTGACCCGATGCTATCGTTGTCATGTTGTGTATCCACAGCTCCGGGTTTGCTGCCTCCATACAAAAGTCCTTGCTGTCACCCTACAGGTACAGCTTCGACGATTCATTCTATCTACGGTGCTCCATTGCTTAGTTGTTATACATGTTTCCGCAGCTTCGAACTGCTGCTGCTCTTTCTGTTCTGTAGCTCGCTCCAATGAGACTAGCCGACGACGTCCGTGATCACTCTATCGATTGTGGGTGGGCAAGTTTTGTTTCCGCTGCTATCCGCTTCGACACACAACTCTTGCCTCTCTCAGTTCACGATGCCAGCTCCATGCACAGGCAAACAGTTGTCAACAAACCTTTGCAAGTTTTCTGTAGCTAGATTAAAGAAGGCCAAACCTACCTTATCCAGTTTTTATGGCCAGTGTGACATTGGATGCACATCAAGGGCTTCCTGGTTCAAGGCAATGGCACCTCTAACACAAGGCGGCCAATCGACTACGTGTGGCACGGTTGAAGCCACCTACGGAGATCCATAGACGGAGTGAATAGTATCAAGCACGCTCGCCTTGTATGCTTCATTGGGGGAGAGTCGGTTGGCGAAATCTTGGCCCACGACAGTAGCAATGCCAATGAGGACCAAAAGCACTTGAGCGTCATTTTGGTTGGTCACCCCCAGCACAAACAACGCATGGACAGAAGAGGGACAGGGCCGAGTATCGCAACAGCCTGGAAGGAAGAGGATGGTTTGGAGAGGCGGATGTCTTTGATTGAGGACAGTTCCAGGATGAGAAGCGGACGAAAGCACAGCGTGGAAGAGATGTTCGGCATTGGGAAGTTAGCCCTAACCTTCTTTTTCATACCCTCTAAGAGCGTAGAGGCGTTCAAACCGGTGCTCCACTGGTTTTGCTTTTCGTTCACGTATCTACATGTACCGGTACCTCGATCCTCGATCCCCTCCCTGCACCTGGAGTCAGGAGTCAGGTCGAGTCTGGGTTTCCCCTGACGTTTCCATTCCAATCGCGTTGCGTTTTGCTGTCATCATGATGCCCATGCAGCTGTTGGCATGCAAGGCACAGAGCCCGGGACACCGTTGCGGCCCAGCAGGAGTCAAACAAGTTTGAAACCTGCCCGTGAGGGAAAAACATGAGGCAAGAGGCAAGTTTGGCAGCACAACATATACCGGTACTGGTATACCCGGTCAAAACGGAATCAACAATTCACAAAACTGAAGAGTCATCGGCAATTTGGAAGGATCCACCAGCCTCACCGGAATGCGATCCCACAACGAAATAATGCGCAAGGCATCTTGCATTCAAAAGGCCAACGAGTTGCCAGAACAGTTGAAGGCGGGCGGGGTCGCTGCCCTGAGACAGCAAGACTCAGATGTGGATGCCCTTGGATTGGAATTGCAGACCAGTGCAGAGGCACTAAATCAACTCGGTGCCAAATTGGCTGGGATTGTTGGATCCGAAAAGGGAACGCTGCCCCAGGGGTCAGTGCAATTGGGATTGGATCTGGGCTCCAATGATGAGCCTCCAGTTCGATGGCAAAAGGGGACCAAAAAGGTCAAGGGACAAAGAACCAAAAATCCACCCAAGACGAGATTGCCCTACCGACGATTCTATGCACAGGACAATACTGAAATAAGGGTGCGTTTTGGTTGCGCTGCAATGCTGTGAGCTGTCTTGATGATGAGCCAGATGTCCTCGTCCTCTTGTCTCTTCCATTCACTTTTGCGTTTCTTCTTCTTTGGGTCAACAATAGGTTGGAAAACAAGCAGAAGACAATGATGAACTGTCCCTCCGACCAGAGCACCGAGATGGGTCCAATTGGTGGATGCATGCCACAGGTCACCCTGGGGCTCATGTGGTGATTCGGTGCAGTGATGAGAGCTTGGATGAAGAAGTGGTGCAAGATGCTGCTGCTCTGGCTGCACGGCAATCCAAATGCACAAGGAAAACTATCAAAGTTTCAATGACTCGATGTCGGGATGTTGAAAAGCCAGTGGGGGCTAGGGCGGGGTTGGTCCTGTTAACAGGGCAAGTATGGACCATCAGGGTCAAAGTGAAAGACGCACGGAAGAGACTGCAGAGACTGGATAGCACCGTTGTGATGAATTATTCCAATTAAGAACTCAACCGGCTACGGACAGGATAAACTGCTGCCACAACACAGTTGCAGCAGTTGGACTCTACATTGTTGTTGAGGTGGAAGAAGAAGAAACACTGATTTGGGTGTGCCATCTACCGTTCCTTGAGACAGAGTGCCGAGCAAGCAACACAGACAAAAGAGTCTCTCTGTCGCTGAGGTACACTCTCAAACGCATCTTTTGACAGCAAAAAAGCGTCAGGTTCTTCAAACCATACTAGCTATTGACAAACAATTGACGAGGAGCAGCCTAAATCAGGCGTTCCCTTTACTAAACTACGCTGTGCACACTGGAGCACCACCGGCACCAAAGCCTTCACTTTCAAAGTGGATAGATCCTACGCATAGCTGCAGCTCTGTCCCCCGCATTCCAGTCGTCTCGCATCTAGAGATATCGCATAGTCGGTGGCGGAGTTGCACCGATTGAGAGCGCCCCAGCATCCCAAACTTGAGATCCCACCGGCGTCTAAAGTGCACCACACACTTCGCTTCAGCCTTTTCTTGTTTCCTCGCCTACTCCGGAAAGTTGAAATCAGAGGAATCGGAAAATTGAAATTGTGAGCAATCAGCAAAAATTAAAATTGTGAGAAATCGGCCAAACTAGAATTGTGAGAAATCGAAAATTGAAAATTGAAATTGTTTGCAATCAGCAAAAATTAAAATTGTGAGAAATCGGCAAAATTAGAATTGTGAGGAATCAAACAATTGAAAATAATAATTGTGAGAAATCAAAATCGAAAATTGGAATTGTGAGGAATCAGTAAAATTGGAATTGTGAGGAATCAGTAAAATTGGAATTGTGAGGAATCGTCAAAATTGAAATTTTGAGAAATGGAAATCAAAAATTGGAATTGTGAGAAATTGAAAAAGTTGTAATTGTGAGAAATCAGAATTCAAAAATTGAAATTGTGAGAAATTGAAAAATGTTGAAATTGTGAGGAATCGAAAAAAGTTGTAATTGTGAGAAATCAGAAATCGAAAATTGAAATTGTTGAGGACTCAAAAAAGTTGTTAGATTGTGAGAAATCGAAAAAAAAATTGTAATTGTGAGAAATCAAAAATCAAAAATTGAAATTGTGAGAAATCGAAAAAAATTGTAATTATGAGAAATGGGAAAGTTGTAATTGTGAGAAATCGAAAAAAGTTGTAATTGTGAGAAATCGAAAAAAAAGTTGAAATTGTGAGGACTCAAAAAAGTTGAAATTGTGAGAAATCGGGAAAAGTTGTAATTGTGAGAAATCGAAAACGAAATTGAAATTGTGAGAAATGGGAAAGTTGAAATTGTGAGAAATCAGAAAAAGATAAAATTGTGAGGAACCGGGGTAAGCTGAAATTGTGAGGAATCGGGAAAAGTTGAAATTGTGACGAATTTTGAAATTGGAATTGTGAGGAACTTCGTAATTCGAATTGGGTACAGATTAGAACACAGACGGTCTCGCCCTGCTCAACGCACCTCAACTGCCGCTTTTTTGTTTTCGTTCGATAGACCAAAAGCTGGTTCATAAGTTTTCGTTTGATCAACCGAAACTTCATGCCTACTTTCGGTTCAATCAACCGAAACCTCGATCGAACGTGTTGGCTCGCTCGCTGCGGTCATTTTGAATCTGAATTTGGATTTCCTTGGCAGCAGCCACAAAAAGCCACAGAACAACACCAACAGCACCATCCCACCCATTCAACAAGAACAAGTCAACATCTCTCTCTCTTCCAAGCCTTCCCCACCCACAAAGCACCCACTATTGTCACTGTCTGTATCCCTACTGCTCCTGTGAACAAGAGATCTCCATTTTCCTGCTGCTGGTGCAGTCAAAAAGCAAGGTTTCAGTGGTATCAGATTACACCAGAGTTTCCGTCGATCGAACCAAAATTCGTCGCAGAGTTTCCGTCGATCGAACCAAAATTCACTTCGCCGCAGAGTTTCCGTCGGTCGAACCAAAACTCCCTGGTAAGTTTCCGTCCATCGAACCAAAACTCATCGACAAGTTTTCCGTCAATCGAACCAAAACTCACTAGTATCGATTCCGTTCATCAAACCGAAACTCACTAATGTCGTTTTCGTTCATTCAACCAAAACTCTCTACTTAGGTATTCGTCAATCAAACCAAAACTCGCTGGTAAGTTTTCGTTCATCGGACCGAAATTCGCTCCTCAGTTTTCGTTCATCGAACCGAAACTCAAATATGACGTTTTCGTACCGTTTTCAGACTCGAATCCTTCCGTTTTCAGACTCGAATCCTTCCGTTGTTTTGATCGCAGCACAGCCATAATGGATGAAGCTTCGAGTTCACAGCGGTCTGACTCTCCTCAGTTGTCGGTGGGTGACGGGGGCAGTGTCACCAAGAAGAGGGTTGGCAGGCCCAGTCTTGGATTGAGTAATCGGGAGAAGGCTGACAAGAGGAACGACCGATCCAAGGAAACAAAGAAGATGTCGAAGGCTGAGATTGATAGGGACATTTTCAAGGGCCGTCACGGTTTCATGGTTTCCGATCCAATCAAACCGTTGAAGTTGGTGGCTGAGGACAAAGATTCCGCGGAGCAGTCAGAAGTGACGAAGCTGTACAATTTCTACAGCGAAAAGGCTGGTCACCGTCATTGTTTTCTGGAATTGACTTCGTTCCACGAGCCTGACTACAATAGTCACTTCTCCAACAAATACAATACAGTTCACTTGAAAGTCGACGACAAGTGCTGTTCTGCTATGGTGGATGTGGTTCGGGGCAAGCATTTGACCCCCTTTTTCTCCTTTGATGAAGTCTCGAAGAACGAAGACTCGATTGAAGTCCCGGATCCGAACTACGTGGTAATGTCGATGTTCCACTCAATGGTGAAGGGACTGAGGACCCCCAAGCTCATTGAGGAGCTCAGGAAGGAGGGAGACGAGGCCTGGTGTGAGGAATGGTACCCGGACATTCGTGTATTGACACAAGACAGTCTTATGAAGGCTTTGCTCGCCGATCCAAAAAGGTTGATTCAGTTCCTTGCCGCCAATCTGGATACCTATACGGACACCCATGACGTGCGCCTCTTTGAGCCGGGTTACATGGATCGTCCTGAACCCCTGATTGGTCTATACAGGCAGTTCCTTTCCGAGCTCGTTGCTCATGACGTGAAAGTGTACCCACCGAATAGGGTGGCGTGTATGCTAAATGACAAGCCTCGACGTGACACGATGTTTATCGAGCATGTTTTGCCCCACAAGTACATCATCTTGCCCCAGAAGACTTTTGATTGGGGTGGTAGTTTGCTCCACTGGGACACAATGAGCAATCTCGATTTGCTTCAATACATGGACGGACAGGTTTGTACTCGTCCAGAAAATCTGAAATGGTTTGTACTCGTCCAGAAAATCTGAAATGGACGGAGGAAAACCGGATTCTCAATGGACGTAGGCGAATCGAGAGGTTGGCCAATGGGTATTATGTCAAGCCGGGTGATGCCTGTGCTGGGATTTCAGTTTTGTGGATACGGGAAGTATTCACGCCAACTGGTGAGCCAACGAATTCGGCTATTGCTTCCGATCTCTCTGGAAACGTATTTGACAGTCCCAAGCAATGGTTTGATGGTCTCGCAGTGAAGAGTCGGGATTGGTGCTTCCAGGTGGCTGATCCCTCTCTACGTGGGAAAGAATCAAGGGTTTTCTTTCAGATTGGACCGCTTGGGCACAATCAGCCCATTTGTATGCTGAACACAAGTTACCCAACCAAGGCATACCGTCACAAGGGTGTTTTGATCGAGCCCGGTTCCATTGCCTGGCAGTCCTTTGTCGGCCTGCCCAAGGGAAAACATCGTGATGAGAATCTGACACTGACCAAGTTGTATTCCTTGTGTAAACAGCCTGAGTACCACGGGACAGAGCCTGATGATTGGAAATTTTTTGTGGAGAGATGTTCCAAAGGGAATGTATTCAAGACTTTTCGGAATGTTCTTAAGACCAATGGTCGCTATGAATATGCTTTCTTGATCTACCGTTTTGACATCTTTGAGACGGATTACAGGACTGGTTATGTCCCGCCTAAGGGGAAGAAGAAAACGTCGGAGAAAGAAATTTTGATCAATGAAGTCCATGTTTGAGAAGAATGTTTACTTTCAATGCAGCCAGCCGGAATATTTCTTGCATGTCTTTGCGCTTTTTCCAATCAGGTGGGTACAATGAAGGTGGAAGCTTGAGTACTTCAATACACATCTTTGCTCCCAATGCAGTGTCAAACCGAAAGATCTCACAAACATTAATCTTCTTGTTTTCCCCAACATCGTCGATAAAGATTGGCTCAGGCGTCCATGTGAATGGTCGCTCTGGAGGGCCTTTTAGCAGGTCACTCGTGGTGGTAGACATGTTCAGTTGAGTTGAGTTGTGATGTTTTTTGGTTTGTGTTTTTCATGGAAATGGCAACTGCGATGAGTGGGAACCTGCCGGGTAAGCCAAATTTTGACACGTTTCTGTTTCTTTTCTGCCCGTCATTGTTTTCTGACATTTTGGTTGCTCCGACGAAAACTTGATTTTGGGTTTTGGTTACTAAAACAAAAAACCAATTAAAAATATTGGTTACTAAAACCAAAAATAAATTAATAATATTGGTTATACGAACGAAAACTATTAAATATTGGTTCGATAAACGAAAATTATTAGGTAAATATTGGTTCGATAAACGAAAACTATGAACTAGGATTAGGTTGAATAAACCAAAATCTGTAGGATACTTTTGGTTGACCGAACCAGGTGCGTCAGTTGAGCAGGGTGAGACCGTCTGTGACATAATCCTTGTCTGTCTCAGCCTAGTCCAATCTCTCTTTTCACTCACCTCGGGTCCCTTCTCTGAAAGTCCGCTCATCCCTATCCAATGCATATTCACTTGGTGCAGTTTCGCATCAATTGATGGCACACTTGCTGGCAGTTTGACCGATGATGGAAGGGACATTGTCAACGTTCTTTGACGGAGAGCCCGGTATCTATATGTTTCCTTGCTTGTCATAACATTGAACACGAAGACTACGATATGATGACGCAGTTCTTTAAGATCTCCAATGACTCAACTCTGAAGAAAATCCTTGCGATCCCACGTTGCTCAATCGGTTCGTGGCGGGTAGGGATGGCGGTGATAGGGATCGTGGTGACCGCGATGGTGATGGTGACGGAAACTAGTACAGCCTTCTCCTGCAGCGTACCACCTGTATGTCATACAAGCCAACAGGTTATCTAGCTAGCAGACACCATTACCCCACATTTGCACTACGGAGTGATCCTTCCTCCTCCCCTGAGCTGGAGGAGCAGTCTATCAGGAGACGCATTTTACTGTTTTATTATTATTGGGACGGTACAGGTGGGTGGCTACCGGTAGCTAGTTTTAAAAGGGGGCCTACATTGAGTACGGTAGAGAAGTTAGCTAAGGAAGCCATTGGGGGACAGGGATATCTCTACCGGTATGAAGGGGGGTCCACCTAATACGGTACGACCGAAAACGAAAGATCGCTTCCACCCACCACAAAACTAACGTGGCTACCATAGACTACCCTACCAATATCTGATTCAGTTTAGAACAGAATGATAGTAGTATCATCATGCTGTGTGCGTATCCCACAGTCAAGTATGTCCAAATCCAAGACTCTCGGTTAGTATGTCTTCGGTACACGCTGCTGTTGGCCATTGCCTTTTATGTTGGTTTCTTTGAAATGTTTGCCCTGGGCGGTTGGTTGGATCCGTCTCCCGTGGTGGGTGTGGTTCGATTTTCGCTGCAACAACCGACCGTCGACAATTGCGATCCGAGCTTGCCGGGTTGCGACAATGCCTTTTCGCCAGTGGATACCATGCCCTATTGCAAACAATATTATTCTCGCAACAACAACAAGACGGAATACAAGGGCCACGTGTATCCGTGCGAAATCTACGAAGCCGCCAGTGCCCAACTGATCAATGAGAAATCCTTGACGGTCATGACCCGTGCGTCGACGACAGAGCAAGAGTTTGTCTGTCCCGCCAGTACTACTGGAAGTTGTCCCAACACGTACAACAATACATCTCCGGCATACAAGTTTTACGTCCACCAAAGTGAATCCTTTACCGTTCTCATTGATCATGCCGTCACAGCTTCAAAGATTTGCACGGCCCATCAACAACAACAATTGACGACGGATGGAACTCCTCACGCGGTCAATTATGCCTGTTCTGCCGAATCGGCCGCTTACCAAGGACGCTTGTATTCCAAAAATCAACACTTGTGTCAACAAGAAGCCAAGAAACAAAATGCCTTTTACGATTATCGGAGCAACTTTTCCACCGACACGGCGCCCTGCTACATTAATCCCAATCGCACCCAAACGTCTCATCAAGATTTCTTTTCCTTGAATGTCTTGTTGCAAGCCGCTGGTGTCAACAGTTTGGACGATTGCAATATCAACAATGACAATGGTGACAACAAGTGCCAAACTTTTCGAGATACCGGAGCCACATTGCTCTTGAATGTCTTTTGGAGTGATTTTGTCAATTACCGGGGAGTGGTGGAACCGCATTATTACTATTCCCCCCAATTGGTCGGAACATCTTCCTACAAGCAGTTCATTCCCTTTTATCACGGACACTACCGATCCAATCGCACCCTCTTGAATGCCCATGGAATTCGAGTGGCCGTATTGTTGGGAGGAGAGTTTCACATGTTTCATTCCGTTACCTTTTTGGTCACACTCACCACAGCGTTGGGATTGTTGGCCGTCGCCACCACCGTGGTCGATAGTCTCATGCTCTACGTATTGCCCGAAAAGGATCGATACAATCAAGTCAAGTACGATGAAGCCGTTATTGAAGCCGATGATGCCGTGTCGTCCACCTTGCGAGCGGGATGGGGACACTTGCGACAAGTCAACCAGAATCTCATGACGATGAATAATAATCACAACAACAACAATAATTTCATGGGAATGAGCAACAATACGTTTACAGAGGATGGTCCACAGGAACCAAATAATAATGCAGTCATGGACCCGTATCTGCAGCAGGAAGACAACGACAACAATAATCAGAGTCTCGTGGATCCTCTGCTGCCCGCGGGTGCTGCAGGTACTACATTTCAGATGAACGAAAGACCGACAACTGATCCATCATACAGTAATGAGTGATTGTGGGTGTAGTTGCAATTAGAGAACAGTAGATACGTAGAACAAGAAAGATACATATGATATTCTTCTTTATAGCTACTAGCTAGCTACAATCAGGTCTATCCATTATTTGCGGTGCACGATGAGCTATAGCTTTTTATGCTGCAGCCTTGACGTCATCTGTTTGTTGTTGTTGCTGTTGTTGTCCCAACCGCCTCAATGCTCGCAGCGCCAAATTGACATGTAGCTCGACACCTTGTGGCATGACACTTTCATCGAGTGCAAAATGCGGATGATGCAATCCGTAATTCGTGGGCGGATCTTGTCCCGATCCCTGTCCCAACAAGAAAAAAGTCGAAGGAACCTGTTCCGCCACAAAACTAAAATCTTCTCCTCCCATGGTGGGTTCCGTGTCGCGGGTATAGCCTTCTGTGGATATCTGGGCGGCAATGTCTTTGGAAAACGTATGGTACAGTTCGGGATCGTTCACTGTCGGTGGATAATAGTCGGGCGAATAGGTAATGGTGACATTGCATCCGTGCACCGCCGCGGTGGATTCCATAATATGATGGACTCGATCCCGTAAGGTCATGAGGGTTTCGGTACTCAATGCCCGAATGGTCCCTCGCAACAATGCCGATGCCGGGATAATGTTGAACGCATCTCCCGCTTCCATTTTGGTGATACTCACCACCCCACTTTCGAGGGGACTCATGGTCCGACTGACGACAGTTTGCAAGTTCATGATAATGGCCGATGCCGTGACAATGGGATCATGAGTGAGATGTGGCATGGCGGCATGTCCCCCTGTTCCGGCAATGAGTATTTCGAATCGTTCTGCGGCTGCCAAGAGGGGTCCAGGACGTCCTGCAATGCTACCCGAAGGAAGACTGTGACAAGAGTTGACAGTGCGAACATGGCAAACAATGGAAGGAAGATGAGAAAACAATACCAAACAATCCAATCCACTACTATTCCTCGATTTCACTTGTATGAGCTCTTATATGCATACTCACGTCGGCCACACATGCAATCCAAAAGCATGCTGTGGTGGTGGTTGTAGTGTCATGACGCCCTCTTCGACCATGCGTTTGGCTCCGGCTCCACCTTCTTCGGCGGGTTGAAACATGAGTCGTACGGTTCCATTGATACTCTCTTCCATTCCCTTTAAAATGGCGGCGGCACCCAACAGCATGGTGGTATGTCCATCGTGTCCACAAGCGTGCATTTGATCGGGTGTTTGCGACCTAAAGTTGTCAACTTGTTCGGTGCGTTCGTGAATGGGCAAAGCATCCATATCGGCTCGTAACAAGACACACGGTGCTTGTCCGGTACCAATATCGGCGACAATACCGTATCCTCCCGGTCCTGGAATGACCGTGGGATGGGTATTGACGGCCCATCCAGTGGAATGGGGAATATCGAGTTGTTGCAAGGTGGCCTGGATCATGGCCGATGTTTCCTTTTCTTGATACATTAATTCGGGACGTTGGTGGAAATTGCGGCGTGTCGAAGTTAAAAAGGACGACAGATTTTGTGCTTGCGATTGGATTTCCTGAAAGAGTAGGACGTCATCATTGGAAGAAGAAGAAGAAGTATCGCCAGCAGCAAAAAAGGCTTCTACCACTGGATTGCGATTGTCGTTCTCTTCATTATTATTGCCTTTTGGTAAATGAATGCGGACGATTTCGCCCATGGCATCCGTGACGGCTTCGGCATTGTCCTCGTTAGTAGTAGTATCGCTACTGGCACCCCGAGTCCCAAATGGCAGGGCCGAAGCTGTCCAGCACAAATGCTGCGAGGAGAGTGTCGCTAGGACACCCAGGCTCGTGGAGAGTGCTTGTCTTGTCTTCATAATATTGTTACTACCGGTACTACTGCTGATGATGGACAAGGAACGAACTCTCTTGAGGGATTGAGATGCCAGGAACATTGTTGCTGCTACGGTATGCTGTTGTTGTTCTGGATGGACGAAGCAATGATGATGAAAGAATGAAACGCCGAACTCTTTGTGACGATGCTGTGTCGTCGTTGCATTGAAACGGTTGGATCTTTTCTGAAAGATCCACATTTAACCCTAATGAAATATCTTTCCTGTCTCATTCCCAAAACGGCCTTCCACGCACTCACAACTCACAATCTCTGGAAACAAGTCTATCACACATGAGAAGATGTCGTCGTTGCTGCTACTAAGACGGTCCCTAAAGCTTGGCCAGTCAGTACGGACAGCCACCACAAGACAGCTCAAGCCGGCTGGAGGAATCTGCAGCTCGTGGTTCAGTACTACCGGTAGTAGTGAAAGTACTAATAGTGATGGAAAAAAGACAAACCGTCTTCCCAGGACTCTGTACCGGCAATTGCTGCGATGGTGTCAGACGACCAACCCGGAAATGCCCTTGTCCGCCTTTGTGGAACCCTTCACATTGTCGCCTCCTCAGATTGATGAAACGAGGTTACGATCTTTACATGATTTTCATCAAGACCACAGCAACCTAGAAGACCGTCTCTTGACCACCATTTATGGACTGTTGCCACCCCAAACGCACATTTACAATCACCAACTACAGCTTCACATTCGCAACACACGCCAATTACGAAACTTGATACGTGCCGTCTTTCGACTCAATAGTAATTCTGTACAAGTACAAGAAGACGCAGATCTGCAAAAGACACGCATTGCCCATGCGTTTCAAACCCTTCGCGCACTCAATGAATTGACATCCACGGCCTTGGTCCAACTCGACCAGCAACGAACGGAACATGCCACTCGCAATAGTACTACTACTACTACAAGTAGTATGGAATTCTACGTGGGACAGGTAGTCCAACACAAACACGAACGATGGAGGGGTGTCATTTGCGGATGGGAACAACCCGTCGAAACACCCAATCAAATGGAATTGTCTTCCTTGACGACAAAAATATACACCGCAAAAGATTTTTTGACCCAAATGCGATACGAAGTCATTCTCGATCTCGCCGATATGCATACATTGCAAGCCACATCGCCGCTCATTGTTGCCACGCAACAGGATTTGGAACTTGTGGACGATCCACAATTGTGTCGGATACGATCCCACATGGTAGCGCAACATTTTCGGGGATACCAGCGACATGCCCGCAGTTTTCAACCGGACGAGTTGTTGGCATATGAATATCCCGTCGATTGGGAAGTAGTGCAACAACAACCACAAACAACAGACAAGACATTTCATGTAGCGGTCGAGGCGGCCGCCCAAGAAACGGTCACGCATTGTCAAGACTTGATGGCCTATTTGGAAGATATTGTCACAACAGAGGCATTATTGCCGACCGATCACCAAAAAGAAGAAGAACAATACAGTGTGCTACGAGCCTTTCAAGAAAGGTTGTCTTCCCGTAGTGAACTTGTACAGGATCCCTCTGTTGTTGTCGTCGGAGGAGATGATGACACGGACCGTCTACAATCTGCAACGGCTCATTTGAGATATATATACACCATCATGGCCGAACTACGAGACTTGCTCTGGCATCGACAAACACTCCAACAAAAACAATCACTAGAAAAAAGCAATACCATTCAATTTGCGGTGGGCGATGTGGTGTACCACCAATTCTTTGGCTTTCGGGGCATCGTCGTGGCATGCGACACTGTTCCCAAGGCCAATGTCAAGCATTGGGATGGAGTGCGACATATTGAACATCCCGAACAAAAACCATTCTATCACGTATTGCCGGATGAACACGATTGTCATCAAGTCTTTGGGGGACCGCGTGGAATGCGGTATGTGTGTCAAGACAATCTAGTGGCGTGCCGCAGTGATCGGACCAATCTTACCGTGACATTGGAGGAGAACTGGTCGCGACAATTGGAGGATAATGGCAGGACTACGGTGTTTCGTCCGTCGACGCGGGCATTGGTAGGGCTGTGAATGTTTTGGCAGTGCGAGTGTTTGTCTGGTTTTATGGCTGACATGTGCGCTTTGTTGTACTCTCTGTTCGTAGTTCAAGCACGGATCGGATATTGGTGATGACGGTCTCACAGAAACAGTTTTGAAGAGAATACAGGTAATCCTACAGCTGCATGGTTGTGATTTGCTGGAGCAACTGCCTCGACTAATCATGAGAGAATCTCACTTTTTGAAATCGACCAATGGACAGGATGAATTGAGGGAGTGGCAGGTGGCCTCTCGAAGCAACACGGGGAGTGTGCCAGAACCACCTGCGGCGAACAAGTCGGCAGCAGCCTTTCGCCTCCCTCTTTCAGCTCTCTTTTTGATGCTGGACGCAGTGACAACACAGGACGGCGCTGAAGCCATTGAGCTCATGATCAAAGACACATTCAAAGTGCATCCTGATGGCAATCTACACTTTCAGCTAGAGAAGGGTCTCTCCGAGATGATTCGAGGCAATCATCAAGATGCCTTGGAAATTTTCGAATCACTCACAGAACAGGACAGTGAGTATGCTGAGGCCTGGAACTGGGTAGCCACTTGCGAATACTTGATAGGCAGCCATCAGTCCGCCTTGAAAGCAGCCGTCAAGGCATTGGAGTTACAACCATTCAATTTCCAAACGCAAAGTGGAATGGGACTTTGTTTTTTCGAAATGGGGAGATATGAGGAAGCAGCAGCGGCATTTCGACAATGCTTGGATTTGAATCCCTGGTCTCCAGTGTCGACCAAGCTTTCTGCTTGTATTGACATTCTGAAACGACGGGGCAGTGAGGATTCTAAGAACTCGGAAGAGTCGGACAAGGAGTGAATGCTGAATGCAGGTACAGTATGAACTACGGAGGGTGGAGGTTGAAAATTATGGTCTAGCGCTACAGGTACCTCACAATCCAATGGACTCATCGCTTTTACTAGCTGGGAGAACTGGCCATATGGTTTGTGCTTCAGGGTGGATCTGTTGTTTACTGTATGACTGGCTCTTGAAATCCCGGGCACGAGTAATGTAGATGATTCTTATCCCGATCCTCAAGTGGTCTACATCACACTGGAGTATGGGTTGTACCTGGAAGGGAAGCTCGAATCGGCATTGCATCATCCATTTGAAAAATGAAATCTCGCTGCTGAGTTTTGCAGGGATACCGGTACACTCGATAGCTTTACAATACAAGTACTAGTAGTTGATCCACTAGCTAGCTCTAGATGTCTCGTTGGCCTTGTGCCGATTCTCGCAGCCTAGAATCAGATTTTTTGGACTTACAAAACAGTACGCTCCTCTGTATTACTGGTGTATCATCAAACTCAGTATTGCTCTCTGCCCCAGGGCTGGTTTCGTGATACTCAATTGATGTCCTCCTTGCAAGTTACGGTACCGGTAGGACTCAAGTCATGAAGGAAGATATGTTGTTCGATTGGATTGGTCCTTCTTCCAGCATAAGATCTGATACCCGTTCTTATCGCATGGCACAAAGCGGTACTCATCGCACCTCAACCGAACATTTTCTGACACCAGCTATGTCACATCGGACATGTCCTACATGGAATACCGGTGTCAGCGTGGGGGCTTTCTCACATCCTATTTATTGCTGGAGGTGCGTTTCTTGTACTCAAAGCATGGCGGCCTTGCCAGCCGTGTGAGTTGCCACAAAATGTTTCATTTTCCGTACTGGTACACATACTTGCTTTTACCACTTGCTATTTGTATGTATTAATAAATTCGTGGCATGAGGTCTGATGATGCTGCAGATTGCTACCAAGATGCCTGGAACAGATGGGGATGATGCATGCAAAACGGTGAACGCATCAGTTGGAAGGCTAAGTGAGAAAATTCGAGGAGCACCATTGGTTGGAGTGTCCAAATAGATTATTAGATGATGTACAAAACATAAATCGCTCAACGTTCCATCGCAAACTTTGCTCCTTTTTTTGTGCATCATTATCGGCTCATTATCCAACAAAAGCAAAGATATCCAAAGCAAAGATATTCATCATTAGAGGTTGCAGAGCAGTGTTAGGGCTGTATCTCGTGACCAAGATGATGATGCAGGAAAAACCAAAAGAGAAGAAAAAAGCCAAGGATAGAGACAACATTCTGTTGAGCTCGGACTCCGACGATTCAATTGACACTCGTCGTCAGATACTTTCAGCTCGTGCCAGAGCAGCCCAAGAGGCAGCTGACACAGAGGCAGCTCTTGCAGATGCAGCTGTCAGACGGCGTAGAAAGGGCGAACTGTCATTGGCTCAGACCCTTGATAGTTCTGATGAAGCACTCGCAGCGATAGCTGTCGCACGGCGTAGAAAGGCCAAACTGTCCTTGTCACAGGCTGTTGAGAGTTCCGAAGAGGATGAGGAGGACAACACGTTGGAAGAAGATACTCCATTGCTGGCACAGCTAACGGAAGAAGAAGCAAAAGCAAGGTATGAAGAAGCTCAGAAACCAAAGCAAATGTCTCGTCTACAGCAGAAGCACCAGCTCCAGGACAAAG